TTTGTTACAAACTCAAACCTCACTTAAAGCTGCACTAACTCACAGTTTCACACATGTGCCGCACATGTGCTGTTTACGGAGCTCACGTCTCACAATCTGGATCGCATAATTGAACGTGGCGTGACTATAGAATGATAGAACCAGGAAGCGCGGAGGAACGAGACTTTCTTTTGGCTGTTTTGCTGAGTAAGCAGAAACCTGTAACGAAGACACGGAAAGCTTCAGGTTAGCCTCCGCCGCTTGTTTACCTCAGCTGTTTGTGCTAACCAGAGAACTGTGGCTTTTCTCAAGACAGTGAGGGCCAGTGGTCCGCTGTGATTGGCCTACTCACCAACATAACCACACTCTCCTCTGTCCATGATGCTTTTAACTTTGTATTTTAACTGTTTTTAAAACGCACTTTTTACTTGTATGTAAGGCAACCTTGAGGATCAAGAAAGGTGCCTAAGAAATAAAATGTCTTATTATTATTATTATTATTATTATTATTATTATTATTATTATTATTATTATTGGTGAAAATCTGGCCCCAAAACAAATTCTCGTCCTTGTTTTACAAAAACTCAATCTAAAATAAAATGACACGCCAGCACATATTTGCGCTACTTATTCTTCAAAAGGACGTATATCCCAATGCACTGCATGGATATGGATGGAATTTAACTATTGAATACAAAAATGAAGTGAGGTAATGCAGATTTAACTATATATCATGGATTACACGCTGTCCTTGGTGTTGTAGCTGCAGCTAGCCTAGCCGTGGCTGCTGCTGTCTCTCCTTCGTTCTGACACGGTCTCTACATTCAAGTCTAGGCTAAAACAGTCGTCTTTAGTTTAGCAGAAGGTTAGGAAGCTAAGACTCAGGGAAGGCTAAACATCTTAGACTGTCAGTCAAGCTGCGTAGGGAGCCCCCTGCAGGAGAAGTATAGTAACCGTCCTCCTCCATCTACACCTGCGTCCTGCCCTGCCCGACCCGCCTGGAGCTGCTTCAGTCCTGCACCTGTCCTCGTTCTGCGGCCACTGCGTGGCCCTGGTCCTTGTTCTACAGTCTGAGTCCTGGATCTACAGCGCGTCCGTCCGTGTGGAGCAGAGACACTACATTCTACAACACGCATGACATGTATCAACATTCATGGACCTTGGTCTCTCCATATGGACCAGTACCATGTGGTCTATATTTGTATGGGGTAAGGTACTGTCAATAACGACGTGCATGCCTAAATAAAATGTGTGCATATTCATTGGTATTTGTGCATAAAAATATTTTATTAATTCATGATTAAGATAATACAAACTAAAAAGACATGGAATTTTGTAATTAAGAATATAAAAACTATAAAACTGTATGTGTGATTTTGTGCTTGTGAATAAGATTTTATTTTTGTGTGCTTGCATTTTCTTCTTTGAGAATATGAATCAGCAAACTGTCAATGTTACGTCACTGCTCACAGACATTAACAATCGAGCCTGCGCAGAGTTGATCATGGCAGAGGGCAACAACATTAACAACGTGGCTCAAAATCAGGTGTATAACTATATTTGATCATTTTGGTTGTTAATGAATGTGTAAGAAATATTAATTCCAATATTTTATATTAATATTAAAATGTGTTAATAAAAATATGTTTCTTGTCCCTCTCTAGATTAGTTTTATTTGGCAGTGTTTAGTTAAGGCTAGCTTCAGAGCTAGTTTTACAGCTTGCCATGTTCCTTTAAAAAATTAAATGTTTACATTCTTAGCATTTATATTTGATGAAGCCTTGGCCCCTAATCAATGTGGTTAATGAGTTGATACCAGCCCCGACCCTCCAGATTTTTCATATTTCACGCTGTTACTGCCCCTGAGCAATATGAGGTTCACCTCCGTGCTGTACTCATCCTTGGTTTATAAACGTAGCAGACCCTGTGCGCCCTGTGCGCCTTAATCTTATATTTGTGAATATATTTGACACATTACTTTTACTCACTAGTTCAGTAACGCTGGTTAGTCTGTTGTTTGGACTAAAATAAATGCATTATTTTCTGTAGAATAAAACAATACCAGAATAAAATTATAAAGCAAGCATTGGAGCTAACAACACTGCCAAAAAAACGTTTCTAGAGAGGGACAAGAAACATATTTTTATGAACACATTTTATGGAATTAATATTTCTTACACATTTATTTTTGATCAAATATAGTTATATACCTGATTGAGCCACGTTGTTAATGTTGTTGCCCTCTGCCTTTTTTAGTTTTTTGGAAATGAAGTTGATCAACTCTGCGCAGGCTCGATTGTTAATGTCTGTGAGCAGTGACGTCATATCAACAGTTTTCTCACTGCTGAAATCCGTATTCTCAAAAAGAAAATGCAAGCACACAAAAAAAATTACACATACAGTTTTATAGTTTTTTAATCTTAATTACAAAATTCCATGTCTTTTGAGTTTGTATTATCTTAATCATGAATGAATAAAATATTTTTATGCACAAATACCAATAAATATGCACGCATTTTTTTAGACATGCACGTCTTTATTGACAGTAACCTTACCCCATACATTTGGATTCTCTGATCTGTGTTGGTGATTTCAATGGTTTTGTTCAGTCTCTGAGATGATGCTGTGGTGATCTAGGGCTATTCCCCTCCTGGACCTGGCTCTGGACCTGGCTCTGGACCTGGCTCTGGACCTGGCTCTGGCTCGGGACTTTGACCTGGCTTCAGCTCTGGCTTCGGCTCTGGACCTGGCTCTGGACCTGGCTCTGGCTATGGACCTGGACCTGGCTCTGGCTTAGGTCCTGTTGCTGCCAGTGAATCAGAATCCGTACTTTAGTGCAGCAGCTGCTCTCTTTGTGTCGAACATTAAAAAGAAAGTCCTCACGGTTTCAAATCAGAGAAGGCTCCATTCAGAGACCTCAGCCAGAAGCTTTAGACCGGGTTCAGTCCTGTTTTAGACCGGGTTCAGTCCTGTTTTAGACCGGGTTCAGTTCTGGTGCAGTCTTGCTTTAGACCAGGTTCAGTCCTGTTATAGACCGGGTTCAGTCCTGGTGTAATCTTGCTTGTGTCCTACTTTAGCCCTGCTTTAGACCTGCTTTGGACCTACTTTAGTTCTGCTTTAGACCTGCTTTAGACCTGCTTTAGTCCTGCTTTAGTCCTGCTTTAGACCTGCTTTAGACCTGCTTTAGACCTGCCTTAGTCCTGCTTTGGACCTACTTTAGTTCTGCTTTAGACCTGCTTTAGCCCTGCTTTAGACCTGCTTTAGACCTGCCTTAGTCCTGCTTTAGACCTGCTTTAGACCTGCTTTAGACTTGCCATAGTCCTGCTTTAGTACTGCTTTAGACCTGCCTTAGTCCTGCTTTAGACCTGCTTTAGACCTGCTTTAGACCTGCTTTAGACTTGCCTTAGTCCTGCTTTAGACCTGCTATAGACCTGCTTTAGTCCTGCTTTAGTCCTGCTTTAGACCTGCTTTAGTCCTGCTTTAGACCTGCTTTAGTCCTGCTCTACATCTGCTTTAGACCTGCTTTAGTCCTGCTTTAGACCTGCTTTAGTCCTGCTTTAGTCCTGCTTCAGTCCGGCTTCAGCCCCGCTTCGGTCCTGTTTCAGTCCTGGTTCAGACCTGCTTGCCTTTAGTCCTGATTTGGTCTCTGCTTCAGTCCAGCTTCAGTCCCGGTTCAGTCCCGCTTCAGTCCCGGTTCAGTCCCGGTTCAATCCCGGTTCAGTCCTGCTTCAGTCCTGCTTCAGTCCCGGTTCAGTCCTGCTTCAGTCCCGGTTCAGTCCCGGTTCAGTCCCGGTTCAGTCCTGCTTCGGTCCCGGTCCAGTCCCGGTTCAGTCCCGGTCCAGTCCTGGTTCAGTCCCGGTTCAGTCCTGCTTTAGTCTCTGCTCATCCTTTTCTCTGTGTTGCTACAATGTCCTGCACAGAAGTCATTAGACCGTTTCAGATCCACTGCATTCTCCTGTTCCCACTGACACAGCCTGTGCCCGCTCCGTTTTGTTCTGATCCGGACCAGACCAACGCATTCCCCGCAGAGGTTAACCGATCATGGAGGTCACCGCGGCTCCAGCCCCACGGAGCCTCTCACATCTGGACACACACGCACACACACACACGCCGACCAGCCAGCCCTGGGACTATGAACTACCGCTGCTACTGATGCTACTGCTGCTACTGCTGCTGCTACTGATGCTACTGCTGCTCCTGCTGCTGCTACTGCTGCTGCTGGATGGGGAGGCAGGGCATGGATGTCCGAAGCCTTGAGCGACACTTTGGTGCAGTGGCATCGCGCGTAATGGTGTGTGTGTGTGTGTGTGTGTGTGTGTGCGTGCGTGTGCGTGTGTGTGTGTGTGCGTGCGAGTGTGTGTGTGTGTTAAGTTGTTCCATGATTTTGCTCACACATGTAAAGTGTACATCGACAAAACATCTGCTATATTCTTACTCGACTATTCCCACCGATTACGACTAATCCACTCAATCTTGACACTGTCCATTCACAGAAACATGTGCAAAACCATCCCTGGATTCGGATTCTCCTTCAAACTGAAGCACATGGAGCGTCCCGCTTTTTAGACACACTCTGTATTATGAATACATTTGATCCTCAGACAAGTTCTGATGTGAACTATTGTCCCACATAAAAGGGGAATGGCCATATATGGTCAAGTCCCAAACACAACCATACTCATGTTTAATCATGTGAATGAGAGAGAGAGCAGAGAGAGAGCCGAGAGAGACCAGAGAGACCAGAGAGCAGAGAGAGAGCACAGAAAGAGAGCAGAGAGAGCAGAGAGAGCAGAGAGAGCAGAGAGAGAGCAGGGACCAGAGAAAGATCAGAGAGACCAGAGAGAGCAGAGAGAGAGCACAGAGAGAGCAGAGAAAGCAGAGAGAGAGTACAGAGAGAGAGCAGAGAGAGCAGTTCTCTCATTAGTGACTGGTCCCGTTCCGTGAGTTGGAGCCACGGCCGTGACTGCAGTGACCCCTGGGAACACAAACACACACACACCGATGATGGACCGGGGTCTTACCGATCTGCACGCTGCTGGGGAACACTGCCCGCGTCGGTAAAACCCAAACACAACAACATAATGTCCCCACGAAGCAGGCACCGAGCGGGATCCTCATGTTGGGTTACAGCAGACTGGTGCGAGGCGCGGGCACAGAGGAGGGACTCGACCGCAAATGCATCCCAAGGGAAAGAAAGAAAGAAGAAGAAGAAGATGCAAAAAAAGGGGAAATGTAGAAAAGAAAGAAGAAAGAGTGAAGGTTAAAGATCCATGTTGCGTCCGGAGGTAAAGTCCTGGTCCTCTGCCGCGGCGCGTCTCTCACAGAACTGTCCCGGGTTTAAGCTCAGAGATCCGGGTAGAGCTGCTCCAGCGGTGGTGGTGGGAGAGGGGGAGAAGAGGGAGAGGAGAGAGGGGGGAGAGAGAGAGGGAGGGGGGAGAGAGAGAAAGGGAGAGAGAGAGGAGAGGGGAGGGGAAACAGGGGAAGAGAGGAGAGAGAGAGAGGAGGGGTGAGAGAGAAGGGGGAGACAGGAGGGGAGGGAAAGAGGGGGAGAGAGAGAGAGAGAGAAACACACGTAGAGAGAGAGAGGGAAGAGGAGAGAGAGAAAGACACACACAGAGCGAGATAAAAACACATATATGGAGAGAGATAGGGAAAGAAAGAGGGAAGAGAGGGAGAAGAGAGAGACACACACAGAGAGAGTGAGAGAAACACACAGAGGGAAAGAGAGAGAGACACAAAGAGAGAGAGACACACACACACAGAGAGAGGGTCTGCAGCAAAGCACCAGTGCCGTGCAGAGGTACAGGAGGAGAAGCAGGAGGAACAGGAGGAGGAGGAGCAGGAGGAACAGGAGGACAAGCAGGAGGAGCAGGAGAAGGAACAGGAGGAGGAGCAGGAGGAGAAGCAGGAGGAGCAGGAGGAGGAACAGGAGGAGGAGCAGGAGGAGGAGCAGGAGGAGAAGCAGGAGGAGCAGGAGAAGAAGCAGGAGGAGGAGCAGGAGGAGGACACTGGGGCCGACAGGACTCATGACATCACTCTGTGGAGGAAGACACTGAACCTTTGATCTGTGAGAATCAAACTAATAACAACAGCCTCAGTCCTGGGTTTAAAGCCTCAGTCCTGGGTCTACAGCCTCAGTCCTGGGTTTAAAGCCTCAGTCCTGGGTTTAAAGCCTCAGTCCTGGGTCTATAGCCTCAGTCCTGGGTCTATAGCCTCAGTCCTGGGTCTACAGCCTCAGTCCTGGGTCTACAGCCTCAGTCCTGGGTTTAAAGCCTCAGTCCTGGGTCTACAGCCTCAGTCCTGGGTCTACAGCCTCAGTCCTGGGTCTACAGCCTCAGTCCTGGGTCTAAAGCCTCAGTCCTGAACACAGAACATAACGGCCCTAACGGACATACACTACACGCACACACACACACACCCACACACATACACACACACATACACTACACACACATAAGATAAGAATTCCTATATTCGTCCCACAGTGGGGAAATTTCGATGTTGCAGCGCACAGACAGGACAGTAGTAAGAGCACACAGGGATCACACACAATATATACAAAATAAATAGTAGCTATGTTTCTTAGCTAACATAACTAGCTGTAGATGCTGAAAATGTAGTGCAGTTATATACTGTACAGTTAAATAGTGCAGGATAAAAAGTAGATAAGTAAAGTGACATTGTTCTGTGACATTCTGAAGTTGCAGTATTGCACATTGCAGATGATTTAAGAATTTACCTAATTACAGATGAATGAAATGTACAGGCTCAGCAGTTCTTATTGTACAGTCTGACAGCAGCAGGAAGGAAAGACCTACGGAACCTCTCCTTCACACAGCAAGGGTGAATTAGTCTGTCACTGAAGCTGCTCTCCAGAGCAGAGAGGGTGTCCTGCAGGGGGTGACAGTCATGGTCCAGCATAGATGTTAGTTTGTCCAGGACCCTCCTGTCCCCCACCTGCTGCACTGTGTCCAGGGAACAGCCCAGGACTGAGCTGGACTTCCTGATGACCTTGTCCAGCTTCTTCCTGTCCCTCTCTGTGATGCTGCTGTTCCAGCAGACCACACCGTACAAGATGGCTGATGCCACCACAGAGTCATAGAAGGTCTTCAGGAGTGGCCCCTGCACTCCAAAAGACCTGAGCCTCCTCAGCAGGTAGAGGCGGCTCTGGCCCTTCTTGAAGTCCAGTTTGTGGTTCAGATGAACGCCCTGGTACTTGTAAGAGTCCACTCTCTCGATGTCCTTTCCCTGGATGTTCACTGGAGCTGGAACAGCAGAGTGACGTCTGCGGAAAACCTCACAGACACACACACTAGACACACACACTACAGACCCACACACTACAGACACATACACTACAGACACACACACTACAGACACATACACTACAGACACACACACTACATACACATACACTACAGACACACACACTACAGACACATACACTACAGACACATACACTACATACACATACACTAAACACACATACACTACAGACACATACACTACACACACACTACAGACACATACACTACAGACACACACACTACAGACACATACACTACAGACACACACACTGCATACACATACACTACAGACACACACACTAAAGACACATACACTACAGACACATACACTACATACACATACACTACACACACATACACTACAGACACATACACTACACACACACTACAGACACATACACTACAGACACACACACTACAGACACATACACTACACACACACTACATACACTACATACACACACTACAGACACATTCACTACACACACACTACATACACACACACTACAGACACATACACTACAGACACATACACTACAGACACATACACTACAGACACACACACTACAGACACATACACTACAGACACACACACTACAGACACATACACTACAGACACACTACACACACATACACTACAGACACATACACTACAGACACACACACTACAGACACATACACTACATACACATACACTACAGACACACACACTACAGACACATACACTACAGACACACTACACACACATACACTACAGACACATACACTACAGACACACACACTACAGACACATACACTACATACACACACACTACAGACACATACACTACACACACATACACTACAGACACAGATACACACACTACAGACACATACACTACAGACATATACACTACAGACACATGCACTACACACACTACACACACATACACTACAGACACACACACTACAGACACATACACTACACACACACTACACACAAATACACTACAGTCACATACACAACACACACATACACTACACACACTAAACACACCTACACATACACTGCATACACACATACACTACACACACACACACATAGACACACATACACTACACACACACATACACTACACACACATACACTACAGACACATACACTACACACACATATACATACACACACATATACACTACACACACACATTTACTACATACACACACACTACAGACACACACACTACAGACGCATACACTACAGACACATACACTACAGACACATACACTACAGACACACACACTACAGACACATACACTAAAGACACATACACTACAGACACACACACTACAGACACATACACTAAAGACACATACACTACAGACACACACACTACAGACGCATACACTACAGACACATACACTACAGACACACACACTACAGACACATACACTACATACACATACACTACACACACATACACTACAGACACATACACTACACACACACTACAGACACATACACTACAGACACACACACTACAGACACATACACTACACACACACTACATACACTACATACACACACTACAGACACATTCACTACACACACACTACATACACACACACTACAGACACATACACTACAGACACATACACTACAGACACATACACTACAGACACACACACTACAGACACATACACTACAGACACACTACACACACATACACTACAGACACATACACTACAGACACACACACTACAGACACATACACTACATACACATACACTACAGACACACACACTACAGACACATACACTACAGACACACTACACACACATACACTACAGACACATACACTACAGACACACACACTACAGACACATACACTACAGACACATACACTACACACACATACACTACAGACACAGATACACACACTACAGACACATACACTACAGACATATACACTACAGACACATGCACTACACACACACACTACACACACATACACTACAGACACACACACTACAGACACATACACTACACACAAATACACTACAGTCACATACACAACACACACATACGGGCGGCACGGTGGCTGAGTGGATAGCACTCTCGCCTCTCAGCAAGAAGGTCCTGGGTTCGAATCCCGGTCGGACCAGGGCCTTTCTGAGTGGAGTTTGCATGTTCTCCCCGTGTCTGCGTAGGTTTCCTCCGGGGACTCCGGTTTCCCCTACCACTAAAAATATGTCCAATAGTTCTGGCATGTGCCTCCTGTACTGGCCCCTCCCATCTCTGTGTGGAGTGAGAGACAAATGCCCAAAAATTAACAATTGTAAACCGCTTTGAGACTCAGATCTGCAGTGAAAAGGCGGTATATAAATTAAAACTTACTTACTTACTTACTATACACTACACACATTAAACACACCTACACATACACTGCATACACACATACACTACACACACACACACATAGACACACATACACTACACACACACATACACTACACACACATACACTACAGACACATACACTACACACACATATACATACACACACATATACACTACACACACACATTTACTACATACACACACTACAGACGCATACACTACAGACACATACACTACAGACACATACACTACACACACATACACTACAGACACAGATACACACACTACAGACACATACACTACAGACATATACACTACAGACACATGCACTACACACACACACTACACACACATACACTACAGACACACACACTACAGACACATACACTACACACAAATACACTACAGTCACATACACAACACACACATACGGGCGGCACGGTGGCTGAGTGGATAGCACTCTCGCCTCTCAGCAAGAAGGTCCTGGGTTCGAATCCCGGTCGGACCAGGGCCTTTCTGAGTGGAGTTTGCATGTTCTCCCCGTGTCTGCGTAGGTTTCCTCCGGGGACTCCGGTTTCCCCTACCACTAAAAATATGTCCAATAGTTCTGGCATGTGCCTCCTGTACTGGCCCCTCCCATCTCTGTGTGGAGTGAGAGACAAATGCCCAAAAATTAACAATTGTAAACCGCTTTGAGACTCAGATCTGCAGTGAAAAGGCGGTATATAAATTAAAACTTACTTACTTACTTACTATACACTACACACATTAAACACACCTACACATACACTGCATACACACATACACTACACACACACACACATAGACACACATACACTACACACACACATACACTACACACACATACACTACAGACACATACACTACACACACATATACATACACACACATATACACTACACACACACATTTACTACATACACACACTACAGACGCATACACTACAGACACATACACTACAGACACATACACTACAGACACACACACTACAGACACATACACTACACACACATACACTACAAACACATACACTAAAGACACATACACTACAGACACACACACTACAGACACATACACTAAAGACACATACACTACAGACACACACACTACAGACGCATACACTACAGACACATACACTACAGACACACACTACAGACACATACACTACACACACACTACAGACACATACACTACAGACACACACACTACAGACACATACACTACACACACACTACAGACACATACACTACAGACACACACACTACAGACACATACACTACACACAAACTACAGACACATACACTACAGACACATACACTACAGACACATACACTACAGACACACACACTACAGACACACACACTACAGACACATACACTACAGACACAGACACATACACTACACACACACTACAGACACATACACTACACACACACTACAGACACATACACTACAGACACACACACTAGAGACACACACACTACAGACACATACACTACAGACACATACACTACAGACACACACACTACAGACACATACACTACAGACACACACACTACAGACACACACACTACAGACACATACACTACAGACACATACACTACAGACACATACACTACAGACACACACACTACAGACACACACACTACAGACACACACACTACAGACACATACACTACACACACACTACAGACACATACACTACAGACACATACACTACAAACACATACACTACAGACACACACACTACACACACATACACTACACACACACACACACTACAGACACAGACACACACACTACAGACACATACACTACACACACACTACACACAAATACACTACAGTCACATACACAACACACACATACACTACACACACTAAACACACCTACACATACACGCACATACACTGCATGCACACATACACTACACACACATACACATAGACACACATACACTACACACACACACATACACTACACACACATACACTACAGACACATACACTACACACACATATACACTACACACACACATTTACTACATACACACACACTACAGACACACACACTACAGACGCATACACTACGACACATACACTACAGACACACACACTACAGACACATACACTACACACTCATACACTACAAAAACATACACTAAAGACACAGACACACACACTACAGACACATACACTAAAGACACATACACTACAGACACATACACTACAGACACACACACTACAGACACACACACTACAGACACACACACTACAGACACATACACTGTCTCTCTGGTCTCACTCTAGTCTCTCTGGTCTTACTCTAGTCTCTCTGGTCTCACTCTAGTCTGGTCTTAATCTAGTCTCTCTGGTCTTAATCTAGTCTCTCTGGTCTCACTCTAGTCTCTCTGGTCTTAATCTAGTCTCTCTGGTCTTAATCTAGTCTTCTCTGGTCTCACTCTAGTCTCTCTGGTCTTACTCTAGTCTCTCTGGTCTTACTCTAGTCTCTCTGGTCTCACTCTAGTCTCTCTGGTCTCTCTCTGGTCTCTCTGGTCTCACTCTAGTCTCTCTGGTCTTACTCTAGTCTATCTGGTCTCTAGTCTCTCTGGTCTCAATCTAGTCTCTCTGGTCTCAATCTAGTCTCTCTGGTCTCACTCTAGTCTCTCTGATCTTACTCTAGTCTCTCTGGTCTCACTCTAGTCTGGTCTTACTCTAGTCTCTCTGGTCTTACTCTAGTCTTTCTGGTCTCACTCTAGTCTCGCTGGTCTTACTCTAGTCTCTCTGGTCTTACTCTAGTCTCTCTGGTCTCACTCTAGTCTCTCTGGTCTCTCTCTGGTCTCTCTGGTCTCACTCTAGTCTCTCTGGTCTTACTCTAGTCTCTCTGGTCTCACTCTAGTCTGGTCTTACTCTAGTCTCTCTGGTCTCATTCTAGTCTTTCTGGTCTTACTCTAGTCTCTTGTCTCACTCTAGTCTCTCTGGTCTTAATCTAGTCTCTCTGGTCCTACTCTAGTCTCTCTGGTCTCACTCTAGTCTGGTCTTACTCTTGTGTCTCTGGTCTTACTCTAGTCTCTCTGGTCTTACTTATAGTCTGGTCTTACTCTAGTGTCTCTGGTCTCACTCTAGTCTCTCTGGTCTCTAGTCTCTCTAGTCTCACTCTAGTCTCACTCTAGTCTCTCTGGTCTCACTCTAGTCTCTCTGGTCTCACTCTAGTCTCTCTGGTCTCACTCTAGTCTCTCTGGTCTTACTCTAGTCTCTCTGGTCTCACTCTAGTCTCTCTGGTCTCACTCTAGTCTCTCTGGTCTCTAGTCTCTCTAGTCTCACTCTAGTCTCTCTGGTCTCACTCTAGTCTCTCTGGTCTCTAGTCTCTCTAGTCTCACTCTAGTCTCTCTGGTCTTACTTATAGTCTCTCTGGTCTTACTCTAGTCTCTCTGGTCTTACTCTAGTCTCTCTGGTCTCACTCTAGTCTGGTCTTACTCTAGTCTCTCTGGTCTTACTCTAGTCTCTCTGGTATCTAGTCTCTCTAGTCTCACTCTAGTCCCTCTGGTCTTACTCTAGTCTCTCTGGTCTTACTCTAGTCTATCTGGTCTCTAGTCTCTCTGGTCTCAATCTAGTCTCTCTGGTCTCACTCTAGTCTCTCTGGTCTTACTCTAGTCTCTCTGGTCTCACTCTAGTCTGGTCTTACTCTAGTCTCTCTGGTCTTAATCTAGTCTCTCTGGTCTCACTCTAGTTTCTCTGGTCCTACTCTAGTCTCTCTGGTCTCACTCTAGTCTCTCTGGTCTCTCTCTGGTCTCTCTGGTCTCACTCTAGTCTCTCTGGTCTTACTCTAGTCTCTCTGGTCTCTAGTCTCTCTGGTCTCACTCTAGTCTCTCTGGTCTCACTCTAGTCTCTCTGGTCTTACTCTAGTCTCTCTGGTCTCACTCTAGTCTCTCTGGTCTCACTCTAGTCTCTCTGGTCTTACTCTAGTCTCTCTGGTCTCACTCTAGTCTCTCTGGTCTCACTCTAGTCTCTCTGGTCTTACTCTAGTCTCTCTGGTCTCACTCTAGTCTGGTCTTACTCTAGTCTCTCTGGTCTTATCTATAGTCTCTGTGCTCACTCTAGTCTCTCTGGTCTCTCTCTGGTCTCTCTGGTCTCACTCTAGTCTCTCTGGTCTTACTCTAGTCTCTCTGGTCTCACTCTAGTCTGGTCTTACTCTAGTCTCTCTGGTCTTACTTATAGTCTCTTGTCTCACTCTAGTCTCTCTGGTCTCTCTCTGGTCTCTCTGGTCTCACTCTAGTCTCTCTGGTCTTACTCTAGTCTCTCTGGTCTCACTCTAGTCTGGTCTTACTCTAGTCTCTCTGGTCTCATTCTAGTCTTTCTGGTCTTACTCTAGTCTCTCTGGTCTCACGCTAGTCTCTGGTCTTACTCTAGTCTCTCTGGTCTCACTCTAGTCTCTCTGGTCTTACTTATAGTCTCTTGTCTCACTCTAGTCTCTCTGGTCTTACTCTAGTCTCTCTGGTCTCACTCTAGTCTCTCTGGTCTTACTTATAGTCTCTTGTCTCACTCTAGTCTCTCTGGTCTTACTCTAGTCTCTCTGGTCTTACTTATAGTCTCTTGTCTCACTCTAGTCTCTCTGGTCTCTAGTCTCTCTAGTCTCACTCTAGTCTCACTCTAGTCTCTATGGTCTCACTCTAGTCTCTCTGGTCTCACTCTAGTCTCTCTGGTCTCACTCTAGTCTCTCTGGTCTTATTCTAGTCTCTCTGGTCTCACTCTAGTCTCTCTGGTCTCACTCTAGTCTCTCTGGTCTCACTCTAGTCTCTCTGGTCTCTAGTCTCTCTGGTCTCACTCTAGTCTCTCTGGTCTCACTCTAGTCTCTCTGGTCTCACTCTAGTCTCTCTGGTCTCTAGTCTCTCTAGTCTCACTCTAGTCTCTCTGGTCTTACTCTAGTCTATCTGGTCTCTAGTCTCTCTGGTCTCAATCTAGTCTCTCTGGTCTCACTCTAGTATCTCTGGTCTCACTCTAGTCTGGTCTTACTCTAGTCTCTCTGGTCTCACTCTAGTCTATCTGATCTTACTCTAGTCTCTCTGGTCTTACTTTAGTCTCTCTGGTCTTACTTTAGTCTCTCTGGTCTTACTCTAGTCTCTCTGGTCTCACTCTAGTCTGGTCTTACTCTAGTCACTCTGGTCTCACTCTAGTCTCTCTGGTCTTACTCTAGTTTCTCTGGTCTCACGCTAGTCTCTGGTCTTACTCTAGTCTCTCTGGTCTCACTCTAGTCTCTGGTCTTACTCTAGTCTGGTCTTACTCTAGTCACTCTGGTCTCTCTCTGGTCTCTCTCTGGTCTCCCTCTGGTCTCCCTCTGGTCTCCCTCTGGTCTCTCTCTGGTCTCTCTCTGGTCTCTCTCTCTTGTCCCTCTCTGGTCTCTCTCTGGTCTCTCTCTCTTGTCCCTCTCTGGTCTCTCTCTGGTCTCTCTCTGGTCTCTCTCTGGTCTCTCTCTAGTCTCTCTCTGGTCTCTCTCTGGTCTCTCGGTGGTGTGGGTGTGGGTGGGGTTGGGGGTGTTGTGGTGTGTGTGTGGGTGTGGGTTTTTGGGGGGTGGGGTGTGTGGGGTGTGGGTTTTAGGGTGGGGTGTGTGGGGTGGGGTTGTGGTGGGGGTGGGGTGTTTGGGGTGGGGTGTGTGGGGGTGGGGTTGTGGGGGTGGGGTGTGTGGGGGTGGGGTGTGTGGGGGTTAGGGTGTGTGGTGTTGGGTGTGTGGGGTGGGGGTTGTGGGTGGGGTTGTTGGGGGGATGGGGTGTGTGGGGTGGGGTGTGGGTGGGGTGGTTTGTGTGGGGTGGGGTGTGGTGGGGTGGGTGTGGTGGGGTGGGGGGTGGTGGGGTGTGTGGGTGTTTTGTGGGGGTGGGGTTGGTGGGGTGGGTGTGTGGGTTGTTGTTTGTGGGTTGGGTGGTTTTTGGGGTGGGGGTTTGGTGGAGGTGGGGTGTGGGGTGGTGGTGGGTTGGTGTTGTGGGTGTGTTTTTTTTGGGGTGGGTGTTTTGGTGGTGTGGTTTGTGGTTGTGTTTTTGGGGTGGTGTGTTTGTGGTTGTTGGGTAGTTTGGGTGTGGTTTTGTGGTGTTTGGTGAGGGTTGTGGGGTGGTGTGTGTGGTGGGTGGTTTGTGTGTTTGGGTTGGTGGTGGTTGGGGTGTGGTGGGTTTTGTGGGTTGTTTGGTTGTGGGGTGTTGGGGGTGGGTTTTTGTGGTGTGGGGTTTGTGGGGGTGGGGGTGTGTGGTTTGGGGTGTGTGGGTTGTTGTGTTGTGGGGGTGGGGTGTGTGGGGTGGGTGAGTGGGGTGGTTTGTGGGGTGGGTTGTGGGGGTGGGGTGTGTGGGGGTTGGGGTGTGGTGGTTGTGGGTGTGTGGGTGGGGTTTGTGGGGTGGGTGTTGGGGTGGGGTTGTGGTGGTGGGGTGTTGTGGGGGGTGGGTGTGGTGGGGGGGGGTGTTTGGGGGGTGGTGTGTGTGGGGTTGGGGTGTGTGGGGTGGGGTGTGGTGGGGTGGGTGTGTGGGGGGGTGGGGTTTGTGGGGGGGTGGGTGTGGTGGGGGTGGGGTGTGTGGGGGTGGGGTGTTTGGGGTGGGTGTGTGGGGGTGTGTGTTGGGGGTGGGGTGTGGTGGGGTGGGGTTGTGGGGGTGGGGGTGTGTGGGGGTGGTGTGTGGGTTTGTGTGGGGTGGGGGGGGGTTTTTGTGGTTGGTTGTGTGGGGTGTGGTTGGGGGTGGGTTGTGGGGGTTTTGGTTGTGGGGGTTTGGGGGGGGTGGGGGGTGGGTTTTGGGGGGTGTGGGTGTGGGGGGGGTGTGGGTTGGTGTTGAGGGTTGTGGGGGGGTTGTGGTTTGGGGGGTGTGGGGGTGGTGGTATGTGTGGGGGTGTTGGGGTGTGTGTGGGGGGGTTGTGGGGGGTGGGGGTTGTGGTGTGGGTGTGGGTGGTGGTGGTTTGTGTGTGGTTGTTGGGTTTGTGGGGTGTTGGGTTTGTTGGTGGGGGGGGTGGGGGGTGTAGGGGTGTGGTGGTGGTTTTGGTGTGTGTGTTGGTGGGGGGGGTGGGGGGGGGTGGTTTGGGTGGGTTGGGGGTGGGGGGGGGGTGGGGGTGTGTTGGTGGGGTGGGGGTGTGTGGGTGGGGTGGGGGGGGGGGTTGGGGGGTGGTGGGTGGGTTGGGGTGGGGTGGGGTTGTGGGGGGGGGGGTGGTGGGGGGGGTTTGTGGTGGTGGGGGTGGGGGTGGGGTGGGTGGGGTGGGGTGGGTGTTGGGTGGGGTGGTGTGGGTGGTTTTGGGTTTTGTGGTGTGTGTTGGGTTGTGTGGGGGGTGTGTGGTGGGGTGTGGTTTGTGGGGTTGGTTTGGGTGGTTTGGGTGTGGGGGGGTTGATGGGGGTTTGGGGTGGGTGTGTGTGGGTGGTGGTTGGGTGTGGGGGGGGGGGTTTGTGGGGTTTGTGGGGTGGGTGGTTGGGTGGGTGGGGGGGTGTGGGTTGGGGTTTTGGTTTTGTTTTAGTATTTGTTTGTTTGGTGTTTGTTGTGGGGGTTTGGGTGTGGGGGGGGGTGGGTGGGGGGGGGGGTGGGGGTGGGGGGGGTTTGGGGTTTGGGTGTGGGGTTTGGGGGGTGTTTTTTGTTTTCGGTGTGTAGGGTGGTTGGGGGGGTGGGGGGTGGGGGGGGTGTGGTTTGGGGGGGGGTGGGGGGATGTGGGTGGGGGGGGGGGGGGGTGTGGGTGGTGGTGTTGTGGTGTGTTGTTTGGGGGGTGGTGTGTTGGTGTGTGGGGGTGGTGGGGGGTTTTGTGGGGGGGGGGTGGGTGTTTTTGTGGGGTGTTGGGGTTTTTGTGTGGGTGGTGGTTTTGTGGGGGGGTTGGTGGGGGGGTGGTGGTTTGTTTGTGGTGGGTGGGGTGGGGGGGGGGGGGTGGGGGGGGTGGGGGGGGGGTGGGGGGGGTGGTGGGTTGGGGTTGTTGGTGGTGGGTGGTGGGGTTGTGGGGGGTTGGTGGGGGGGTGGGGGGTGGGGGGGGGTTGGGGGGTTTGTTGGGGTGGGGTGTTTTTGTGGGGTGTGGTGGGGGGGGTTGGTGTGGTGTGGTTGTGTGTGGGGTGATTGTTGTTTTGTTGTGTTTGGGGGGTGGGTTGGTGGGGTTGGGTGGTGGGGGTGTGTTGGTTGTGTTGGGTGGTGGGGGGTGGGGTGGGGTTGGTGTGGTGGTGTGGGGGGTTGTGGGGTTTGGTTGGGGTGGGGGGGGGGGGGGTGTTTGGGGGTGTGGGTGTTGGGTGGGGTTGGGGGGGGGGGTGTGGGGTTGGGTGGGTGGGTTTTGGTTTTGGTTTGTTGGGGGTGGGGGGGGGGGGGGGTGGTGTGGGGGTTGTTTGGGTGGGTTGTTGGTGGTGGTTTTGTGGGGTGGGGTGGGTTTGTGGGTGGGTTGTGTGTGGGTGGTGGTGTTTGGGGGGGTTGGGTGGGGGTGGGTTTGGGGGGGGTGGGGGGGGGTGGGGGGGGTGGGGGGTTGTATGGTTTGGGTGTGGGGGGTTGGGGGGGGGGGTGGGGTGGGGGGGGGTTTGGAGGGGGGGGGGTTTGGGGGGTGGGTGGGTGTTGTGGTTTGTTTTTGTGGTTGTGGGGTTTGGTTGTGGTTTGTGTTGGGTTGGTTGTGTGTTGTGGTTGGGGTTGTGGGTGTGTTGGTGGGTTGTGGTGTGGTGTTGGGTTGTGGATTGGTGTTGGGTTGTGGGTGTTTGTTGGGTTTGTGGGTGTGGTGTTGGGTTTGGTGTGTTTTGGGGTTTGTTTGGTTTTGGTTGTGGGTGTGGTGTTGGGTTTGGGTGTGTGGTGGGGTTGTGGTGTGTGGTTTTGGGGTTGTGGGTGTGGTGTTGGGTGTGGGTGTGTTGATGGGTTGTGGTGTGGTGTTGGTTGTGGGTTTGGGTTGGGTTTGGTGTGTTGTTTGGGTTGTGGGTGTGGTGTTGGGGGGTTTGTGGTTGTGGGTTTTGGTGTTGTGGTTGTGGTGTTGGTTGTGGTGTGGGTTGGGTTGTGGTGTGTGTTGGGGTTGTGTGTGTGTTGTTGGTGTTGTGGGTTGTGTGGGTTGGTTGTGTGTGTGGAGTTGGGGGTTGTGGATGTGTGGATGGGGATGTGTGTTGTGTTGAAGGTATGTGTATGTGGTTGGTGGGTTGAGTTTGTGTTGTTGGGGTTGTGGTTGTGTTGTTGGGTTGTGTGTGTGTGTTGGGTTGTGGGTGTGGTTTTGGTTGTGGGTGTGGTGTTGGGTTGTGTGTGTGGTTTTGGGGTTGTGTTTTGTTGTTTGGTTTTAGTGTAGTGTTTGAAGTAGTGGGGTGAGTTGATGGGTAGTGTTTGTGTTTTTGTGGTAGAGTGATAGATGTATGATGGGATGTTTAGTTATAAGGGGGGATGTGTGTGTGTTGTGGGTTGTGTGTTTTTTGTTGGTTGTGTGAAGTGTTTTTGTTATGAGTGAGTGGTAGTAGGGGTAGTGTTAGGAGTTTTAGGGTTGGTGTGTGTGTTTGATGGGATTGTGTGGGTTATTAAGGAAGAGTGAGTGTATAAGGGGGAAGTGTGATAGAGTTAAGGGAAGAGGGAGAGTATTGAAGGAAGAGTAAGAGTTTAAGGGATAGTGAGTGTTGTAGAGTTGAGGTGTGTATTTGTGGTAGAGTTATGTTATGGTAGGGATAGTGTGTGTATGGTAATGAGTGAGTGTATATTGGGTTGAGTGTGTTTGTGAGGGAAGTGTTTGTGTTTATGGTTTGTGTGGAGTGGTGGTTTTTGGGTAGAGTTTGAGTTTAAAGGGGGTTGTGGTTGTGTTTTAAGGGTTGAGTTATGTGTTTTGGGGGGTTGAGGGTTTTTTTGGGTTTGGGTGTTTTTTTGGGGATTTGGGTTGTTGAAGGGGTTGTGTGTGTGTTTTGGGGGTTGATGGTGTGGTGTTGTTGGTTGTGTGTTGGTGGTTTGTTGTGTGGTGTGTTTTAGGTTTGTGTAGTTTTTTGGTTGAGTGGTTGTTGTTGGGTTTGTGTTGTTTTTGGGGTTGTGTGTGGTGTATGTTGGGTTGAGGGTGTGGTTATGGGTTGTGTGTGGTGTTTTTGGGGGTTGTGGGTTGGTTGGTTGGTTTGTGTGTGTTTGTATGGGTGGTGGTGTGTGTTTGTGGTATTGTTTGTGTTTTAGTTGTTGTGTGTTTTGGGTGGAGTGAAGTGTTGTTTGGGGTTGTGGGTGAGTTTTGTGGTTTGTGAGTTGGTGGTAGGGGGGGTTGTGTATGTGTATTTGGGGGTTGTGTGTGTATTAAAAGGGGGTTGTGTGGAGTGTTGTAGGGGTTGTGTTTGAGTTATTGGGATGTGTGTGTGTTGAAGGGGATGAGTTGTGGTTTTGGGTTGTGTGTGTGTTTTTGTGTGTGTGTGAGTATTTGGGTTGAGTGTTGTGGATGTTTGGGGGTTGTGGGTGTGTTGTGGGTTATGTGTGTGTGTTTAGGGTAGAGTGGTTGTGTTTGTAGGTTTGTAGTGTTTGTTGGGGTTGTGTGGTGTGTTGTTGGGTTGTGGTGTTGTTTATGGTTGAGGTGATGTTTTAGGGTTGTGTGGTTGAGTAGTGAAGGGAAGAGTGTGTGTGTTTGTTGGGATTGTGTTTGTGGTGTTGGTTGTGTGTTGTTTTGGTTTGTGTGTGGGTTGGGGTAGTGTGGTGTTGTTTGATGTAGTGTGGTTTGTGTTGGGGTGGGGTTTAGTGGTGTGGGATTTGGATTTGTGTTGGTGTTTTGGTTTGTGGTGTTGTGGGGGTTTGGTGGGTGTTGTATTGGGTGGTTTTGGGGGGTTGGTAGGTTTTGTTTGGTGTAGTTATTGGGATTTTTTGTGTATGGGTTTTGTTTGGTAGTTGGGGTGGGGTTAGGTTGGGGGGGTTGGTTGGGGTTGTGGGTTTTTGGTGGGGGGGTGGTTTTTGGGGTTTGATGTGGAGTGATAGGTGGGGGTGGGGGGTGTGGGGGTGTTGGGGGGGATTTGGGTTGGGTTTGGGGGGGGTGGTGGTGGGGGGGTGTAGGGGAGTGAGATGGAGTGAGGAGATTAATGTATTGGGAGTTTGGAGGATATTGGTGGGAGGAGAGGTGTAGGGGTAGGGTTGTGTTGGGGGGGTGGTGGGTATTGTAGTTGGTATTATGTGGGAGGTGAGATGGTGGGGTTGGGTGGTGATGTTTTTGATGGTTGTTGGTGTGTGTAGGTTTGGGTGTTGGTTGGTTGGTGTGTGGTGGGTGTGTGTTGGGGTTTGGTGGATGTTGTATTTTGGGTGTGGGGGGGTGTGGGGGGGGGGTGTGTTGGTGGGTGGGTGGGGGTTGGGTTGAGGGGTGGGGTTGTGGGTTGGTGTGGTGTGTGGGTTGGGTGGTTTGTTGTGGTGTGTTGGGGTGTGGGGGTGGTTGGGTGGGTGGGGGGTGTGTGTGGTTTGGGGTGGGGTGGTGGTTGTGTTGGTTGGTTGTGTTGATGGTTTTGTGGGTTTTGTGGTGGGTGGGGGGGGGGGGGTTTGTGGGTTTGGGTTGGGGTTGTTGGGGGTGTGGGTTTTTGTGGTTTGGTTGGTTTGGTGGTTTGGAAGGGGGGGGTTGTTTTTTTTGTGTGGGTGGTTTGTGGGTTTGGTGAGTGTGGGTGGGGTTTGGGTGTTGTGTGTGTGGGGTTGGGGTGGGTTGGGTGGGTTGTTGTTTGGGGGGGTTTTGTGGTGTGTGGGGGGGTGGGGTTGGTTGGTGGAGGGGTGTTTGTTTTTGTTGTTGGTTTTTGTTTTGGGGTGGTGGGGGGGTTGTGGTTTGGGTTTTTTTTGGGTGGGGGTTTTTGTGTGGTGGGTGTGTGTTGGGGGTGGTTTGGTTTGGGGGTTGGTGGGGTGTGGGGTGGGTTGTGTTGTTGTATTTTTTGTTTTTTGGTGGTTTTTTTGTGGGGGTGGGGTGTGGTGGGTTGGATGATAGATTTGTTGTTTGTTGGGGTGGGGTGTTTGGTGTGGTTGGGTGGGTTGGGGGTTGGTTGGGGTTGGGGTTTGTTTGTTGTGTGTGTGGTTGTGTATAGGGGGTGTGTTGGGGGGTGGTGGGAGTGGGTTTGGAGGTGAGGGTTTGTTTTATGTTGTAGATGGTTTTATTTTTGGGTGGGGGGGGTGTGATGGTAGGTGTGATTGGGGATGATGATTTTGTTTATGAGTTAGTTGGGGGTTGTTTTGTGTGGTTTGGGGGGGGTGAGAGGTTGGGGGTTGTGGGTGTTTTGGGGTGGGGTGGTGGGTGGGGTGTTTGTAGTGGTTTTGGTTGGGGTGGGTTGTGTTGGGGGTGGTGTTGTGGTGTTTTTGTGGTGGGGGGTGTTGTGGTTTTTTTTGTTTTGGTTAATTTTGTTATGGGTTGGTGTGGGGTTGTGTTTGGTTGTGTTTGTGGGTGGGTGGTGGGTGTTTTTTGGTGGTTATGTGTGGTTTGGGTGTTTGTGTTGTATGGTTGGGTGGGTTTGGGGGTGGTTGTGGGGTGTTTTTGGGTGGTTTGGTTTGGGGGTCTTGTTGTGGGGTGAGGGTTGTGTGGTGGGGGTTGTGGTGGGGGTTTTGGAGTGTTGAGGTTTTGTGTTTTGGTGTGGGTGTGGTTTTGTGGTTTGGGAATGTATGAGAGAGTGTGTGAGGGATTTGTGGGTAGGATTTTTGTGGTTTATGGTTGGTGGGGTTGTTTGTGTTGGTGTTGTTGTTGGTTTGTGGTGGTTTTGGTGGTTTGGGGTGGTTGGGTGGTGTTTTGGTGTTGTTTTGTTTTGATTGTGTTGATGTTGTGTTTTGTTTGGGGGGGGGTGTGGGGTGTTTGGGGGGGTGGTTTGGGTTTGTGGTTTTTTGTTTTGGTGTGGTTGTGTGTGGGGTGTGTTTTTTTGGTGGTGGTGTGTTTTGGAGTGTTGTTGGTTTGGTATTTTGGGTGTGTTGTTGTTGGGGTGTTTTGGTGTTATGGGTGGTTTTGGTTTTGTTTATATATTGTGTTTAGGGAATTTTGTATAGGTGTGGAGGTGGGGGTTGGTGTGGGGGGGGGGGGGGGGGGGGGTTTGGTGGTGTGTGATTGTTTGTTTAGTGGTGGTGTGTGGGTGTTAGGGGGGAGTAGTGGTAGTATTGGTGGGGGGGGGTGTGTTATGTTGGGGTTTGGTTGTGGAGGGTTTGTGGGTTTTAGTGTTAGGGAGATTGGGGGTTGGGGGGTTGGATTAATAAAATTTAGATGATATTGGAGATGGAAAAGTATGGGATGTTATATGGTAATGAGGGGGTGGGGATGTGTTTGTGATTATGGTGAGGGTGGAGTTTAGGGTTATGGGATTATTGAAGTGTTTGGGGTAGTTTGTTGGATAGGATTTGTATTGTGTGTGTTGTTTTGTTGTAATGTGGGTAAGAGATATGGGTGTTTGGGTTTTATGGTTTGGGTGTGTGTGGGTAGGTGATGGGGGTGTATAGAAGAATATATTATGTTAGAATGGGTTGGTTGATGGGGGGAGGGGTGTTATGTTAGAGATTTAATGGTTGGTAAGGATAAAATTAGATTGAGAGGGGGGGTTGGATGGGGTTTTTAGAATGGTAGAGATTGTAGTTTAGGGATAGAAGGGATGTAGGGGATGGGGGAGGATATAGGGGAGGGTTTTGAGTAGTTGTTAGTAGATTGTTTATTTGTTTGTGATTGATTATTATGGTTAGATTGATTTTTATGTGTATGTTTAAGGTTTTTTATGTTATTGTGGGATTGGGGAGGTTTAGGGGGATGGTATTTTGGTAGGGGTTTGGTATTTTTTAGTGAGGGGGGGGGGGGGGGGGTTTTTAAAGGTTGGTAATGTTTATGGAGTAGTAGGTGAGGGTAAAGAAGTGAAAAGGGTTTAAGGGGGTAGTTAGTGGGTTATGGGATGATGGTTTGTATGGAGTTTGTGTTGGGGGGGAGTGTGGGGGGATTTGTGGGTGTGTGGAGGTGGGGTTTGGTTTTGAGTTGGGGGATGGAGTGGAAAGGGGGGTATTGATGAGGTTATCGTGTGGTATATGAGGTGGTGTAGTGTGGGTATATGGAGGTGTGTAGTGTGATGTGAGGTGTTAGTTGGTATATGAGGGTTGTAGTGTGGTATATGGAAGGTTTAGTGTGGGTATATAGGTGTGTAGTTGTATATGGAGGGTGTGGTATTTATATAGGGTTTAAGTGTTATATAGGTGTTAGTTGTATATGAGGTTTAATTGGGTATATAGGGTGTGTAGTTGGTTATATGGAGGGTGTGTAGTGTGGAATATAGGGTGTTAGTGAGTAATATGAGGGTTGTAGTTGTATATGGGGGTGTTAGTTGTAATGAGGTGTTAGTTTATTTAGGTGGGTGTATGTTTTTATAGGGGTGTATTTTTTATGAGGTGTAGTTGGTATATGTAGGGTTGTAGTGTGGTATTAGGGTGGTTTTTTATGGTGGTTGGTGGTGTTTAGGTGTTAGGTGAGTTTAGGTTATTTATTTGTGGGTGGAGTTTTATTTGAGTGTTTTGTGTGTTTATAGGGTTAGTGTGGGTTTATGGAGGGGTGTAGTGTTTATATGGGAGTGGTGTTGTTTAGTTGGGTAGGTTTGTGTATAGGGTGGTTGTGTTGGTATATAGGTTGTAGTGTATTGGTGTTTTAGGTGTTATATAGGTTTAGTTGGTATATGAGGGTTGTTGTGTGGTTTATTGGTGTGTTGTTTTTATTGGGGGGGTGTTTGTGTTTATGGTGGGTTAGTTTAGATGGAGGTGTTAGTTGTATTTAGGGTTAGGTGTTATTGGTGTAGTTTAGTTAGGGGTTTTGTTATTTTTGGGTTTTGTTTTGAGGAGGTTGTGTTTTATGAGGTTGGGTTATGTTTGGTTTGGTGGTTATATGGAAAAAGGGGGGTTTTTTTTTTTTTTTTTTGTAGTTGATTTTAGTTGTAGTTTATATGAGGGTGTTTGTTTTTTTAGGTTGTTGTTGGTGTTGTTTGTTATATAGGGTGTGTGTGTAATGGAGGGTGTTAGGTTTAATGGTGGGTTTGTTGGTGTGTGGTGGGTGTTTTTTTGTGGGGGTTGTTTTGAGAGGTTGAGTGTTTTGAGGTTTTGTGTTTAGTGTTTTTGTTGGTTTGTGGGGTTGTGTTTTTGTGGGTTTGTGGGTTTGTGTGGTGTGTGTGTGGGTGGGGTTGTGGGGGTGGGGTGTGTGGGGGTGGGGGTGTGTGGGGTGGTGTGTGTGTGTGGGTTGTTTGGGGGTGGTGTTGTGTGGTGGAGGGGTTTGTGGGTTGTGGTTGGTGGTGGTGTGTGTGTGTGTTGGTGTGTGTGGGGTGGGTTTAGGGTTTGGGTTTAGTGGGTTGGGTATTTGTTTTGGTGTTTGTGGGTTGGGTGTTGGGGGGTGGGGGGTGGTGTGGGGTGGGGTGTTTGGTTGGGGGGTGTTTGGGGTGGTTTTTGTGGGGGTTTGGGTTTTGGGGGTGGTTGTGGTGGGGTGGGTGTGTGGGGAGGGGTTGTTGGGGGTGGTGGTGTGGGTGGGGGGTTGGGTTTGGGGTTGGGGGTTTTTTTGGGTTTTGTTGGGTGGTGGTGGTGGGGGTGTGTGGGGTGGGGTGTGGTGGGGGTGGTTGTGTGGTGGTGGGTGTGGTGGGGGTGTTTGTTGTGGGGTGGGTGTGTGGGGTGGGGTGTGTGGGGGTGGGGTTTGTGGGGTGGATTGTGTGGAGTTGGGGTGGTGTGGGTGGGGTGTGGGTGGGGTGGGTGTGTGGGGTGGGGTTGGTGGGGGTGGGTTTGTGGGGTGGGTGTGTGGGGGTGGGGTGTGTGGGTGTGTGTGGTGGGGGGTGTTTGTGTGTGTGGTGTGTGTGGGTGTGTTGGGGGTGGGTGTGGGGTGGGGGGTTGTGTGGGTGGGGGGGGGGGGGGGGGGGGTGGGGGGGGGGGGTGGGGGGGTGTGTGGGGGGGGGTGGGGTGTGGGGGGGGGGGGGTTGTGTGTGTGTGGGGGGGTGTGAGGGTTTGGTGTGGGTGGTTGTGTGTGTGGGGGTTGTTGGGGGTGGGGGTGTGGTGGTGGGGTGGGGTGGGGGGGTGTGTGTGTGTTGATTGGGTTTGGGGGTGTTGTGTTTGTTGTGGGGGGGGGTGGGGGTGTGGGTGGGGTTGTGGTTGGTGTGTGTGTTGTGGGGGGGGGTTGGGGGGGTGTGGTTGGGGGGGGGGTGGGGGGGTGGTGGTTGTGGGGGGTGGGGTGTGTGTGGGGGTGGGGGGGGGGGGGGTGTGGGGGTTGGGGGGGTGTGTTGGGGTGGGGGGTGGGTTGTGGGTGGGGGGGGGGTTGGGGTTTGTGGTGGGGTGGTGGGGGGTGGGGGTGGGGTGGGGTGGGGTGGTGTTGGGGGGTTGGTTGTGGGGGGTGTTTGGGGTTTTGTGGTTGTTGTGGGTTGTGTTGGGGGGTGGTGGGGGGGGTGGTGGTTGTGGGTGGGTGTGGGGTGGGGTTTGGGTGGTGGGGGGGTGGGGGGGGTTGGGGGTGGTGTGTGTGGGGGTGGTTGGGGGTGGGGGGTTGTGTGGTGTTGTGGTGGGTGGTGGTGGGTGGGGGGGGTTGGGTGTGGTTTTGGTGGGGTGTTTGGTGTTGTTTTGTGTGGGGTTGTTGGTGGGGGGGTTTGGGTGTGGGGGGGGGGGGGGGGGGGGTGGGGGGTTGGGGGGTTGGGTGTGGGGGGGGTTTGGGGGGGGGGTGGTGTGTTGTGGTGGTGGTGGTGGGGGGGGGGGGGGGGGGTGGGGGGGGGGGTGTGGGTTGGTGGTGGGGGTGTGGGTGGGGTGGGGGGGTGGGGGTGGGTGGTGGGGGTTATGGTTGTTTTTGTGGGTGGGTGGGTGTGGTGGTGTGGTGGGGGGGGGGGGGGTGTTTGTGGGGGGTGGTGGTTTTTTGTGGGGTTTGGGGTGGGGGGGGGGTGTTGTTTTTTGGTGGGTTGGTGGTGGGGGGGTTTTGGTGGGGGTGGGGTGTTTTTTTGGTGGGTGGGTGTGGGGGGGGGGGGTGGGGGGGTGGGGGGGGGTGGGGGGGGGTGGTGTTTTGGTGGTTGTGTGTGTGGGTGTGGGGTGGGGTGGGGGGGGGGGGGGTTTGGGGGGTGGGTGGGGGGGGGGGGGGGGTGTTTTGTGGGGTGGGGGGGGGTTGTGGGGGTGTGGGGTGTTGTTTGTGGTGTGGTTGGGTTGTGGGGTGTTGTTTGGGGTTTGGGTTGGTGGGTTTGGGTTTGATGGTGTTGGGGGGGTGGGTGGGTGTGGGTATGTGAGTTGTTTTTTTATTTGGGTTTTGTGTTGTGGTGGGTGGGGGGGGTTATGGGGTGTTGGGGGTGGTGGGGTTTGGGGGGGGGGGGGGTGTGGGTTTGGGTTTGTTTTTTTTGTGGGTTTTTGTTGATTGGGGGGGTGTGGGGGGGGGGGGGGGTGGGGGTGGGTTGTGGGGGGGTTTGTTGGGTGGGTTTTGTGGGGGTTTTTGGGGTGGGGGGTGGGTTGTGTGGGGGTGTTTGTGTGTTGTTGTGTGTTTGGTGTTGGTGGTTTTGTGGTATTGGGGGGGGGTGGGGGGGTTGGGTGGTGGGTGGGTTGTTTGTTTGGGGGGTGAGGTTGTTTGTTGGGGTGGGGTTAGGTGGTGGGGGGGGTTGTGGGGGTTGGGTGTTGGGGGGTGGGGTTGTGGGGTTTGGGTGTTGTTTGTGTGTTTTGTGGGTGTGTTGGGGTTTGGTTGGTGTTGGTTTAGGGGTTGTGTGGTGTGTTTTTGGTTGTGTGTGTGTTTGTGGGTAGTGGTTGTGGTTTGGGTTGTGGGGTGTGGTTTTGGGGTGTTGTGGGGTGTGTTTTATGGGTTGTTTTTGTTTTTGGGGGTATGTTGTGTTTGTTGGGTTGTGGTTGTGTTTTTGGGGTTTGGGGTTGGCGTGGGTTGAGGGTGTGTTTTGTTTGTGTTGTGTTGGTTGTGTTGTGTAGATTGGGTTTTGTGGGTGTGGTGGTTGGGATGGTGGTGTGTTTTGGTTGTGGTTGGTGTTGGTTTGGGTGTTGTTTTTGGGGGGTTATGGGTTGAGTTGTTGGGTAGTGTTTGTTTTTTGTGTGTGTTGAGTTTTTGGGTATGTGGGGAGTGTTTGGGTTGGGGTTGTTTTTGTTGGTTGGGTTGAGTGTTGTGTGTTGTGGTTGAGGGTGTGTTTGTTGGGGATGTGTGTGTGGTGTTGGGTTATTTGTGGTGTTGGTTGTTGTGTATGTTTTTTTGGGGTTGTGGTTGTGTTTGGTAGTGTTTTGTTGTTGGGTTTGTGATTGTGATTGGGTTGGGTAGTGTTTTTGGGTTGTGGGTGTGTTGTTTTGGTTTGTGTGTGTTGTTGGGGGTTGTGGGTGTGTTTTTGGGGTTGTGTTAGATGTTTGAAGTGTATGAGGTTGTTTTTGGGAGTGTGGTGAGTTTAAGGGTAGAGGTGTTATTTTAGGGTGTTGAGTGGAGTGTTTATGGGGAAGAGTGAAAAGTATAAGGGAAGATGGAGAGTATAAGGAAGAGTGAAGTTATATGTGTTGTGTAAGTGTTTAAGTGTGTGTGGTAGTTATGGGGATTGAGTTAGAGTAGTAGGGGAAGAGTGAGAGATAAGGGAAGATGGAGATTTGGGGTATGTGTGTGTTTAGGGTTGTAGTATGTGGTTTAGGGAATGGGTGTGTTTGTTTGGGGGAATGTGTATGTGGATTGAAGGGTTGAGTGTGAGTTATTTGTTGTGTGGAGAGTTTTGATTAGTTGTAGAGTTTTGATGGGGTTGTGAGTTAAAGAGTGTGTGTAGAGTAAGTTGTGTGGTTTTGGGAAGTGGGAATGTGTTGTTGGGGGTATGTGGTTGTAAGTATAAGGGGAGGTGTAGTTGTGTTTAGGGAATGTGTTTGAGTTTAAGGGGGAAAGAGTAAGAGTATGAAGGGGTTTGTGTGGTAGTTTTTGGGAAGAGTGTGTGTTTTGGGTAGTGTGATGTTGATGGGGTATGTGTGAAGGATTTGGGAATGTGTGATTTTTGGGATGTGTGAAGAGTTATTGATAGGATGTGTGTGTGTATTGGTAGAGTGTGAGTAGTTGGGGTAGAGTGGTGTGTTTGGATAGGGGATAGAGGGAGTAGTTTGTTGGGGTTAGTAGATGGTGTTGGTAGTGTGTGGTTGTTGGGGTTTGTGTGAGTTTATTGGGGGTTGTGGTGTGTTTGTTTGGTTGGTGTGAGTGTTATGGGGTGATGGGTGTGGTTTTGGTTTGTTGTGGTTTAGGGGTTGTGGGTTGTTTTGGTGTGTAAGTGGTTTTGGGTGATGAGGGTTGTGGTTGTTTGGGTTGTGGGTGAGTATAAGGGGTTGTGTATGTGTTGTTGGGGTAGTGTGATGTGTTATGGGGAAAAGTGGAGAGTATTGGGGTAAGAGTTAGATATGAAGGGGTAGTGTGAGAGTATAAGGGGATGAGTGGTGAGTTGGATGGGAAGAGTGTGAGTTTGGATAAGGAGAAGATGGAGATATAAGGGGAAGTAGTGGAGAGTATAAGGTTGAGTGATGAGTATATGGGATAGAGTGTGTGTTTATGGGGATATGAGTGGGGAGAGTATGTAGGGAAGAGGGAGAGGATAGGGATATAGTTGAGTGTATTGGGGATGTTGTGTGTTTTTGTAGGGGTTAGTGGAGTAGTTGTTTGGGGTTTGGGTGTGTTTTTGGGTTTGTGTGGTGTGTTTTAGGGTTGTGTGTGTGTTGTTGGGGTTGTGGGGAGTGTTTTAGGTTTGTGGGAGTGGTTTTGGGTTGTGTGTTGGTTTTGGGATGTGGGGTGTTTTTGTGTTTTATAGGTTTGTTTTGGGTTTGTGTGGGTGTTTTGTATTTGGGTGTTGTGGGTGTGGGGTGGTTAGTTTAGGTTTGGTGTGGAGGTGGTGTGTGGTTGGGGGTTTTGGTGGGTGTTTTGTGTTGGGGTGTGTGTGGTGGTGGGTTGGTTGGTTGGGGTTGGGTGGTGGGGGGGTGGTGGTTGGGGGGGGGTTGTTTTAGGGGTTTTTTTGTGGGTTTGTGTTGGTTGGGGGTTGGGGGGTGGTTGAGGGGGTGATGTGGGTAGGGTTGGGGGGGTGGGTGGGGTGGGGGGGGTGGTTAGAGTGAGATTGTTGGAAGTTTTTGTTTTGGGTGTTTTTTTTTTGGTGTATTGTTAGGGGTAGGTTTGTTGTTGTGGGGTTTTGTTGTGGGGTTTTTTTGTGTGTGGTGGTGGAGTGTTGGGGGGTTGGTGGTGTTGTTTTTGGTTGGTTTGTGTGGGTTGTTGTGTGTGGTGTTGTGGTGTGGGGTGGTGGTGTGTGTGGTGTGTGGTGGGGGGGGGTTTTGTTTGAGTTTTGTTGGGGGTGGTGGGGTTGTGTTGGGGGTGGTTGGTGGGTGGGTGTTTGGGGTGGTTGGTGGGGTTGATGGTTTTGGGGGTTGTGTTGGGGGGGTTTTGTTGTTGTTGGGGGGTTGGTGTGTGGGGGGGTGTTGGGGTGTGTGGTGTGGGTGAGGTGGTGGTTGGTGGTTTGGTGTGTTTGGTTTGTGGTGTTTGTGGGTTTATGTTGGGTGTGGGGTGTGGGTTTGGTGTGGGGTTGGTGTGGTTGTTTGGTGGGGTTTTGGGTTTGGGTGTGGGGTGGTTGGTGTTGGGTTTGTTTGGGGGGGTTGGTGTTTTTTGTTTTTGGGGTTTGGGTGTTTTTGGTTTTGATTGTGGGGTTGGGGGTGTGGGGTTGTTGGGGTGGGGGGGGGGGTGGGGGTGGGTTGGTTGTGGGGGGGTGGGTTTGGTGTTTGGGGGTGGGGTGGGGTTGGGGTGGTGGTGGGTTGGGTTTTGTTTTGTTTGTGGTTGTGTGTTAGTGGGTGTGTTGGGGGAAGGTTTTATGTTAAAAATAGGGAATTTAAAAATATGATTTTTTGATTGAGAAGTGTAGATAGTAAGGATGTGTGATTGGAGGGGAGAGGGGTTAGGGGGTAGAGGTAAATAAAAAAAAAAATTTTGGTGGTTGGTTTTTTGGGGGTGTGTTGGTTTTGATGAAAGTAGAATAAGAAGATTGTGGGGAGTGGATATGAGGATGTTAGTATTGTTTTGTTGGGGAATGAAGTTGGGGTGTTGGGGGTATGTTTGAAAGATTGAGATGGGATTGGGGTTGGGTTTGATGGGTTGTTGTTTGGTTTTTGAGTGATGGTGTTTTTTTTATGGTGTGTAAAGGTTTTTATATAGGAGGAGTGATGGGGAAGGATGGTATGGGGAGAAGATTTATTAAGTTAGGTTTGGGTTGGTGATTTATAGAGATTTTGGTGTGTTGGTTGGGGGTGTGGGGGTGGGTTGTTGTGGGGGTTGTTTTTGGGTTGGGGTTTTTGATTGTATGGTTGGGGGGGGGGGTTTGGGTTGGTAGGGGGGTTGTGTGTGTTTTTTATTTGTTGGTTGGGGTGTTTTTGTGTTTTAATAGTGTTTGGGATAAATTTGTTTTTGGGTTGTGGGGTGGGTGGGGGGTATGTATTTATGTGGGGAGTTTATGTCGATGTTTTTTGGTTGTTTTTTTGGTTTGGTGTTAGGATGTTGTTGTGTGGGTGGGGGTTGTTGGGGTTTTTGTGGGTGTGGGTTGTGGGTGGGTGTTTTGGGGGGGTTTGTGGTGTGGGGGGTGTGGTGTGGGGGGTGGTGGTGGGGGTTTTGAGTGTTTTGTTTTGGTGTTTTGGGGTGGGAGGGTTTGGTGTATTTGGTTGGTATTGTTTTTTGAGTGAGATTGTGAGATGATTTAGTAGTGTTGTTTTGTGGTTTTTGGTTTGGGGGGTGTTGGGGGGGGTGTGTTGGTGTTGTTGTTGATTTTATGTGTGATTTAGGTTTATGGGTGGTGGGGTTTGGTTTTTTTGTTTTTTTTTTTTATTGTGTTGTTAGTGGTGGGTGTTTGGGGTAGGTGGGGGGGTGGGTGGGTGGTGGGTGTGGGTTTGTGTTTTGGTTTGGTTATGGGTGTTGTGGTGTGTGGGGGGGGGGGGGGTGTTGGTGTTTTTTTGGTGGTGGTTGTTGGTGTGGTGTGGTGTTGTGGTTTTTTGTGGTGTTGGGTGGGTGTTGGTTTTGTTGTTGGTGGTGTGTGGTTTTTGTTTGGGTTTGGTTTTGGTTGTGGGGGGTTTGTGGTGGTGTGTGGGGGGGGTGGTTGGGGGGGGGTTGGTTGTGTTGTTGTGGGGTGTGTTGTGGTTTTGGGGGGTTGTTGTGGTGTGTTGGTGTGGGGGGGGGGGGGGGTGGATGGGGGTGGGGGGTGTTGGTGGGGTGTGGGGGTTGGGTTTGGGTGTGGGGTGGGGGTGTTGGGGTTTTTTTGTTTTTGTGAGGGGGGTGTGGGTTTTTTTGTTGGGTGTGGGGTTTTGTGGGGGGGGTTGTGGTGGTGTGGTGGGTGGGTGTTGGTGGGTGGTTGTTTGTTGTGGGTGGTGGGTGGGGGGGTTTGGTGGTTTTGTGTGTGGGTTTGTTGTTTGGGTGGGTTGGTTTGTGGGGGGGTTTGGTGTTGTGTGTGTGGGGTGTTGGGGGTTGGTGTGGGGGTGTTGTTTGTGTTATTGTGTTTGGGTTGGGGTTGGGTGGTGTTGGTGTGTTTTTGTGGGGTTTTTTTTTGTTGTGTGTGGGGTGGGTTGGGGTGGGTGGTGTGGGTGTTGGGTTGTTTTGTGTGTTTGGTGTGTGGGGTGGGGTGTGTTGGGTGGGGGTGGTGTTGGTGTTTGTAGTGTGTGTTGTGGGTGGTTGTGTGGTGTTGGGTGGTGGTGGGTGTGGGTGGGTGGGGAGTTGGGTGTGTTTTGTTGTTGGGGTTGGGGGGTGGTTGCGGTTTGGGTGTGGGGGTGGGGGGGTGGTTGTGTTTGTTTGGTTTTTTGTGGTTGGGTTGTTGTGGTGGGTGGGTTTGGTTGGTTTTGTTTGGTTTTGGGGGGGTGTTTGGGGGGTGGTGGGTGGGGGTGGTTGGGTGGGGGTGGGTGTTGGGGGGGGTTGTGGGGGGTGGGGGGGGTGTGGGGGGGGGGGGGGGGTTGTATTGGGGGTTTTTTGTGTTTTGGTTGTGTGGTTTTGGGTGGTTGTTTGGGGGGGTGGGGGTTTTTGGGGGTGTGGTTGTTTGGGGGGTGGTGTGAGTGGGTGTTTGTTTGTGGGGGTGGGGGTTTGTGGGTGTGGGGGTTGTGTGGGGGTGGGTGTTTGTGGGGTGGGTGGTTTGTTAGGGGTTGGTTGTGTTTGTTTGGTTGTGTGGTGGTGTGTGTGTGGGGTTGGGGGTTGTGTGGGGGTTTGGGTTTTGTGGGTGTGGTTTGTGGGGGTGGGGTGTGTGGGGGGGGTGGGTTGTGTGGGTGGTGTGTGTTTGGGTGGGTTTTTTGGGGGTGTGGTGTTTGGGGGTGGGGTGGTGTTGGGTGGGGTGTGTGGGGTGGGGTTGTGGTGGGGTGGGTGTGTGGGGGTGGTGGTTTGTGGGGGGTGTGGTGTGTGGGTGGGGTGGTGGGGGTGTGGGGTGTGGGTGGGGTGGGTGTTTGGGGGTGGGGTGTTGTGGTGTGGGTGTGTGGGGTGGGTGTGTGGGGTGGGGTGTGGTGGGGTTGGTGGTGTGTGGGGTGGTGTGTGTGTTTGGGTTGTGTGGGGGTGGGGTGTGTGGGGGTGGTTGTGTGGGTGGGTGTGGTGGGGTGGGGTTTGTGGGGGTGGGTGGTGGGGGTGGGTTTGTGGGTTGTGGTGAGTGGGTTGGGGTTGTGTGGGGTGTGGTGTTGTGGGTGGGTGTGTGGGGGGTGTGGTGTGTGGGTGGGTTTGTGGGTGGGGTGTTGGGGTGGGGGGGTGGGTGTTGGGTGGGGGTTGTGGGTGGGGTTGTGGGTGGGGGTGTGTGGGGTGGGGTGTGTGGGGTGGGGTGTGTGGTGGGGTGTTTGGGGTGGGGTGTGTGGGGGGGTTGGGTGTGTGGGGTGGGGTTGTGTTTTTTGGGGGGGGTGGGGTGTTTGGGGTGGGGTTGTGGGTGTGGTTGTGGGGTGGGTTGTGGTGGGGGTGTGTGTGTGGGTGGGTTGTGTGGGGGTGGGGTTTTTGGGTGGGGTGTTGGGGGTGGGGTTGTGGGTGGGGTTGTTGGGTTGGGTGTGTGGGGGTGGGGTGTGTGGGGGTGGGGTGTGTGGGGGTGGTGTTGGGGTGGGGTTGTGGGTGGGTGTGTGGGGTGGGGTGTTGGGGTGGTTTGTGGGGGGTGGGTTGTGTGGGTGGGGTGTTGGGGTGGGTGTGTGGGGGTGGGTTTGGGGTGGGGTGTGTGGGGTGGGGTGTGTGGGGGTGGGGTGTGTTGGGTGGGGTTGTGGGTGGGGGTGTGGGGGTGGGTGTGGTGGGGGTGGGGGTTTGGGGGTGGGGTGTGTGGGGTGGGGTGTTGTGGGGTGGGTGTGGTGGGGTGGGTGTGTGGGGGGTGGGTGTGGTGGGGGTGGGGTGTGTGGGGGTGGGTGTGTGGGGTGGGGTGTGTGGGGTGAGTTGTGTGTGGGGTGGGTGTGTGGGGTGGGGGTGTGTTGGGGGTGGGGTGTTGTGGGGGTGGTGTGGTGGGGGTGGGTGTGTGGGGTGGGTTGTGGGGGTGGGTGTGTTGGGGGTGTGTGTGGTGGTGGGGTGTTTGTGGTGTGTGTTTGTGGGTGTGTTGGGGGTGGTGTGGGGGTGGGGGTGTGGGGGTGGGGGGGGGGGGGTGGTGGGGGGGGGGGTTTTTTGGGGGGGGTGGTGGGGGGGGGTGGGGGTTGGGGGGGGGGTTTGGGGTTGGGGGTTGGTTGGGTGTGGTGTTGGGTGTGGTGGGTTGTGGGGGTGGGGGTTGTGGTGGGTTGGGTGGGGGTGGGGGGTGTGGTGGTGGTGTTGTGTTTTGGGGGTGTTGGGGTTTGTGTGGTGGGGGGTGGGGGGTTGGGGGTGGGTGGTGGTTGGTGGTGTGTGTTGGTGGTGGGGGGTGTGGGGTGTGGGTTGTGGGGGGTGGGGGGTGGGGGGGGGTGGGGGGTGTGTGGTGGGGTGGGGTGTGTGGGTTGGGGGGGTGGGGGGGGGGGGGTGGGGGGTTGGGGTGTGGGTTGGGTGGGGGGGTGGGGGTGTTGGGTGGGGGGGGGGGTGGGGGGGTTTTGGGGTTGGGGGTGGTGGGGGGTTGGGGGGGGGTGGGGGGTGTGGTTGGGGTTGGTTTGGGGGGGTGGGTTGTGGGGGTTGTTTGTGGGTTTTTGGTGGGGTGTGTGTTGGGGTGTGTGGGGGGGTGGGTTTGGTGGGGTGGTGGTTGTTGGGTTGGTTGGGTGGGTTTGGTGTGGGGGGTGTGGGGGGGGTGTGGGATTGGTTGTGTGGGTTTGTGGTAGGGGGGGTGGGGGGGGTTGTGGGGGTGGGGTGTTTGTGGTGGGGGGGGTGGGTGGTGGGGGGGGTTGGGTGGGGTGTTTTGTTTTGGTTTTTGTTGTTGTTTTTGTGTGGTTTTGTTGGGGTTGGGTGTGTGGGGGGGGGGGGGGGGGGGGGGTGTGGGGTGGGGGTTGTTGGGGTGGTGGGGGGGGGGGGGTTTGTTGGTGGGTTTGTGTTTTGGTGTGTGGGGGTGGGGGGGGGGTGGTGGGTGTGGGGGGTGGTTGTTGGGGGGGTGGGGGGGTGGGGGGGGGGGGGGGGGGGGGGTGGGTGGTTGGTGTTGTTGTGTGTGTTGTTGTGGGTGGGTGTGGGTTGTTTGGTGGGGGGGGGGGTTTTGTTGGGGGGTGTTGGTGTTGTTGGGTGGTGTGGTGGGGGGTGTGTTTGTGTGGTTGGTGGGGTGGGTGGGGGGGGGGGGGTGGTGGGTTTTGTGGGTGGGTGGGGGTGGGGGGGGGGTTGGGGGGGTGGGGGGGTGGGGGGTGTGGGGGGGTTGGGTGTTGGTGTTTGTGTGTTGTGGGGTGGGTGGGGGGGGTGGGGGGGGGTGGGGGGTTTTTGGGGGGGGGGGGGGGTGGTTGGGGTGGTGGGGGTGGTTTTTGGGTGGGGGTTGTGGTGGTGGTGGTGTGGTGGTTGGTTGGTTGGTGTGTGGTTGGGTTGGGGGGGGTGTTGGGTTTGGGGTGTGGGGGGTGTGGTTTGTTGTGTTGGGGGGGGGTGGTTGGGGGGTGGGTGTTTTTGTGGTGGTTTGGTGTGTTGGGGGTTGGGTTGGTGGGGTGGGGGGGGGTTTGGGGTTGTGTGGGTGGGGTTGGGGGGGGGGGGGGGTGGGTGGGTGGGTTTTGTGGGTTTGGTTTGTGTGGGGGTGTGGGGGGGGGGGGGGGTGGTTTGGGGGGGGTGTTGTGGGGGGGGTGGTGGGGTGGTTGGTGGGTGGGGTGGGTTTTTGGGGTGGTTATGGGGTGTGTGTTGTGGGTTGTGGGGGTGGGTGGGTGGGGGTGTGTTTTTGGGGGGGGGGTGGGGGGGTGGGTTTGTGGGGGTTAGGATTTGGGGGGTGTTGTTTTGTGGGGGGGGTGGGTGGTGTTGGTGGTTTTGGGGGGGTTTGGTTTTGGGGGTGGTGGTGTTTTGGTGTTGTTGTGTTTGGGTGTTGGGGTGTTGGGTTGTGTGTGTGTTTTGGGTTGTGTGTGTGGTTTTTGGTTGGGGTGAGGTGGGTGGTTGTGTGTGTGGTTTAGGTTTGGTGTGGTTTTGGTGTGGGGATGATTTGGGTTGTGTGTTTGTTTTTGGGTTGGTGGGTGTGGTTTTGTTTTGGGTGTGGTTTGGGTTGTGTTGTGGTGTTGGATGGTGGGTGTGGTTGGGAGGTTGTGGGTTGTTTGTTGGGTATGGTGTGGTTTTGGGTTTTGGGTTTGTGGTGGTTGGGGTTGTGGGTGTGGTGGTGGTTGTTGGGTGTGTGGTTGGGTTTGGGTGTGGTGTTGGTTTGTGTGTGGGTTGGGTTGGGTTGTTGGTTGTGGTGTTTGTGGGTTTGTTGTGGTGTTGGTTTTGGTGTGTTGGTTGGTTTGGGTGTGTTTGTTGGTTGTGGGTGTGGTGATGTGTTGTGGGTGTGTAGTGGGTTGTGGTGTGTTTGGGGGTTGTGTATGTGTTATGGGGTAGTGGTGTGGATTTTGGGTTTGTGTGTTGAGTTTATGGTTGTGTTTGAGTTTAAGGGGGATAGTTGGTTATGTATTTTGGGTGTGTGGGTTGGTTTTGGATGTGTGATGTGTATTTGGGGTTGTTGTTGTGGTGTTGTTAGTGGTTTTTGAAGGGAAGAGTGAAGAGTTTTGATGAGTGTGATTAATGAGTTTGAGGGTTGTGTGAGTGTATTTGGGGGATGTGTAAGTGTTTATGGTATAGTGTGAGTGTATATGGATGTGGTATGTTTGTTGGGAAGAGGTAAAGTTAAGGGGAAGTGTGAGAGTATAGAGTGTGTAAAGAGTAGATAAAGTAGTAGTGGGTGTGTTGAGGGTTAGTAAAGTAGTAGGGAATGAGTGGATGATGTATAAAGGGTAGTGTGGGATGAGATGTAGTGTGTGAGTTTAGGGAAGAGTAAGAGTATTAGGGGATGTGTGTGAGTTTTATGGTTAGTAAGAGTTGGGAAGAGTGGAGTGTATAAGAGATGTGTGATAGTTTTTGTGATGTGTTGAGGTTTTGGGGGTGAGTATGTGTAAATGATGGTGTGTTTAGGTTGTGGTGAGTGTATTTTGGTAGATATGTAATGTTTATGGGTAGAGTGGAAGAGTATTAGGGATGATAAGATATAAGGGTAGAGTGTAAGAGTTTAAAGGTAGTAGTAAGTGTATAGGGTAGTGTGTGATGTAGATGGGTAGTGTGAGATAGTTTTTGGAAGAGTGAGAGTTTAGGGTATGTGTGTGTTTTATGGTAGAGTGGATGAGATTAGGGGTAAGTGTGGAAAGGATAAATGGAAGAGGAGAGTATGTGAAGGGGGGAAAGTGGAGAGTATAAAGGGAAGATGAGATATAAGGGGAAAAGTGAGAGTAGAAGGGGAAGAGTGAGAGGTATGTAGGGTAGATGAGTGTATATGAGATGATGAGTGTATATGTTGGGGAAGTAGTGGAGAGTAGTAGGGGTATGAGTGTGAGTATAAGGGGTGTGGATGGAGTGTATGAAAGGGGAAGATTAGTGTATGTGTTTGTTGGGTTGTGTGGTGAGTTTTAAGGGTGGGTGGTAAGTTTAAGGGTTGTTGAGAGTAGGTGGGGGTTGTGTGAGTTTTTAGGGATAGTGTTAGTAGTATAAGGTTAAGTGAAAGAGTTTAAGGGAAGAGTGGAGAAGTTTTGGGATTGTGTATGAGTTTTGATGGGGATGTGTGTTGTATTGGGTTTGTGAGTGTTTTAGGGGATGTGTAGAGTTGATAGAGTTGTGGTGAGTTAGATGGGTTTGTGTGTGTTTTTGGGGTTGTGGGGATGTGTTTGGGGTTGAGGGTGTGGTTTAGGGGATAGTGTGTTGTTTGGATTAGTGTGTGTTGTTGGGGGTTGAGTGAGTGTATGAAGGAAGAGTGAAGAGTTTGTAGGGTAGAGTGAATGTATTAGGTAGAGTGGAGAGTTTTGAAGGGGAAGAGTGAGAGTATAAGGGGGATGATGAGTGTATAAGGGGATAGAGTGAGAGTATAAGGGGAAGAGTGAGAGTATAAGGGGAAGATTAAGTATAAGGGGAAGAGTGGGAGTATTGAAGAGGTTATAATGGAGGATAGATTTTGGATTGTGTTGGAGTTTTTGTTGTGTGTATGTGGTTATTTTGTGGTTAAGTAAAGGTGTTGTTTTGGTGGGTTGTAGGAATTTTTTTGGGGGTGAGAAATTTGGGATAATAGGATGATGGTTATAGTTAGTAGTGAGGGGGAATGGTGAGGAAGGGGGGGAAGGGGGGGGGGAGGGGGTGAAGGGGGGGGAAGGGTTTGATTGGGGATGTTTTAGGGGTATTATTTGGAGTTGTGAAGTTGGGGGGGTTGGGTGTGGTGTTGGTGGTAGTGGTTGGGGGTGGGGGGTGGTGGGGTGGGGGGTGGTTGGAATGTGTGTGTAGGTGTGTTTATGGTTATTGGGGTTTTTTTGTTATTGGGGTTGTAGGTGTGGGGGGGTAGTGTGGTGAGGTGGGGAGTGTAGGGTGTTTTTTTTTGTGGGTTGTGGGGGGGGTTGGGGTGGGTGTTTGTTTTTGGATGGTTGGGATGGGGTGATGGTGGGTTGAGGTTTTGTTTGTGTTGTTTGGTGTTTGTGTGGTGTTGGGGTTTGTTGTATGAATTATTAAGTTGGGATGGAGGGGTGGTGTTGTGGGGTGGTATGATGGGTGGGTGGGTTTTGGTTGATGGTGGGGGATAGGAGTAGTGGTGTAGTTTAGTTGGGTAGGATGGATTTATTTTGGTGTTGTTGGGAGAGGGTGTGTAGTGGGGTTTGTTTAGTGGGTTGGTGGATGGAGTTTTTGATTTATGGTGTTTTAAGGTGTTGGGAATGGGTTATGTAGGGGAATTTTTGATTTAGGGGGTGTGAATGTGATGTGGTTTTGTGTTGGTTTTAAGGTTTTTGTATTTGTTGGTTTTTTGTTGTGTTGGGTGTGTTTGGGGTGGGGTTGTTTGTTGGTGTTAAGGGTTTTTTGTTGTGTGTTGGTGGGGGATGGGGTGTTGTTTGTTGTGGTTGGGTTTTTTGGGTGTGTGGGGTTGTTTGTTATGTGGGGGGTTTGTTTTGGTGTGGTGTTGGTTGGGGGGTGGGTTTTGTGGGAATGGGTTTTATTTTATTATGTTGGTTGTTGTTTTTTTGGTGGTGGTTGGTGGGGGTAAGGGATTGTATTTGTTATATTTAGGGGGAAGTTGATAAAGAGATTTTTTGTTTGAAGTGGGTAGTAGTAAGGATTGGTGTTTGGTGGTGAGGGGTGGGGTGTGTAGAATAAAAAAAATATAGGTTGGGTGGTGGTTTGTTGGGTGGTGGTGTTGATGTTAGTTATTTTAGAAGATTGTGGGATGGATAGTAGGGTTGGTTTGTTTTTTGGGGGGGGGTAAGTTGGTTGGGGTTTGGGTATTTTGATGTTTGAGTTGTGTTGGGGTGGGTGTTGGGTTTTTGTTGTGGTTTTGTATGAGGGGGTGTGTTTTTAAGGTAGTAGATGGTTTTATGAAGGGAGGATTATGGGATGGATGTGATGGAGATGATTTTAGTTTAGATGTGTGTTTGTATTGTATTAAGTTGTTGTGGTGTGAGGTGGGGGTGATTGTGGGGGTTTTATGGGTTTTTTTAGGTGGGTTGGTTTAGGTTTTTGGTTGGGTTTGGGTTGTATTGGGGTGTGAGAGTTTTTTGATTTTTGTGGTGTTTGGTTTGGGGGTTTTTTGGGGGTTTTGTGGTTTTGGGGTTGTGTGGGGGGTTGGTGTAAGGGTTTTTTGTGGTTTTATGTTGTTGTGTTGGGTGTGTGTGGTTTGGGGGTTGTGGTGGTGTGTTAGGGTTGGTTTGAGGGGTGGTGTTTTGTTGTGTTTAGTGTGGTTGTGGCATGGGGGGTTGGGGGTTGGGGGGGTTGGTTTTGTTGGGGTGGTGTGTGGGTTGTGTGGGTGTGGGTTGGGGGGGGGTGTGGTGTGGGGTGGTTTGTTTGGTTTTATTTTGAGTGGGAGAGTATTTGGTAGAAGTAATGGTTTATATAGTGGTGTTGGGTGGTGTTTTTGGTGGGTTGTGTTTGTTTGTTTGTGTGTTTTGGTTTTTGGTTGTGGGTGGTGTTGTTTTTTTGGTTTGTTGTTATTTTTTTTTGTGTTGTTAGGGGGTGTTGGGGTTGGGGGGGGGGTGGTGTTGGGGGGGGTTGGTTTGGGTGGGGGGTGTGTTATGGGGTGGGTGTGTGGGGTGTGTTTTTGTGGTGGGTGGGTGGTTGGGATGTGTGGTGTTTGTGGTTTTGGTGGGGTGTGGTTGGGTGTTTTTGGTGGTTGGGTTGGTGGGTTGGTTTGGTTGTTTGTTTTGGGTGTGGGTTGTGGTGTGGTGTGGGGGGGGGTGGGGGGGGGGGGGGGTGTGGGTGTTGTGAGTTGTGTGTTGTTGTGGTTGGGGGGTTGTGGGTGGTTGGTGGTTGTGGGGGGGGGTGTTTTGGGTTGGGGGTGGTGGGGGTGGGGTGGTGGGGTGGGGGTTTTGGGTTTGGTGTTGGGGGGGGGGGGTTGTGGGGTTTTTGGTGTTGTTTGGGTGTGGGGTTTTTGGTTGTTGGGTGTGGTTGGTGGGGGGGGGGGGTGGGGTGGTGGGGGTGGGTGGGTGGGGTTTGTGGGTTTGGTGTGTGGTGTGGGGGGGTGTTGGGTGTTTGTGGTTGGGGGGGGTGGTGGGGGGGTTGGGGTTGTTGGGTGGGTGGGGGTTGGTGTGGGGGTGGGGTGGGGGGGTGTGGGGGGGTTTGTTTGTGTTGTGTGTGTTTTGGTTGGGGGTGGGTATGGGGGTGGGGGTTTGTGTGTGTGTTTTTGTGGTTTGTTTTTTTTTGTGTGGGGGGGGGTGGGGTTTGAGATTGGTTTGTGTGGGTGTTTTGTGTGGTTTTTTGGTTTTTGGGGTTGGGGTGGTGTTTGGGTGGGGGGGGGGAGTTGGGTTGTGTTTGAGATTGTGTATTGTTTTGATTGATATAGTTTTTGTTTTTATATGGTTTTGATTGATATTGTATGTGTATGTGTATGAAGTTAGATATGGATAGTAGTGGGATGTTGGGAGGATTTTGGGGGATGGATGTGTGTAGGGGGGGTTGGGTTGGTTTGTGGTGTATTTTTTATTGGGTATTGGTTTAGTGTAGTTGGTGATGGGTATTTATATAGGAATTGTTTTAGGGGGGTTGTTTGTGGGTGGGTATGGTTGGTTTGTAGGGGAGTGGTGGTGGGGATGTTGTGGGGGTTTTGGGGGTTGTGGGGTGGGGTTTGGTGTGGAGGTTGGGTGGTGTGTTGGGGGGTTTTGGTGAGTGGGTTTGTGGGGTTGGGTTTTTGTGGGAGTTGTTTGGGTGGGGTGGTGTTGTGGTGGGGGTGGGGTGTGTGGTGTGGTGTGTGTGGGGTGGTGTGTGTGGGGGTGTGTTTTGTGGTGTTGGGTTTGTGGTGAGGGGGTTATGGAGGGTTTGTTGTTTATGAGGTTTAGGTGGTTTATAGGGGTGTGTGTGTTTGGGTTTGTTTTTATGTGGGGGTGTTGTGGGGTGTTGTGGTTGTAGTGTTTGGGAGGGGGGTGTTGTGTTGTGTGGGGTGTGGTGTGTGGTGGGGGTGGGGGTTTGTGGGGTGGGTGTGTGGGGGGTGGTGTTTGGGGTGGTGTTGTGTGGGGTGGTTTGTGGGGGTGGGGGTGTTGTGGGGGTGGGGTGTGTGGGGTGGGGGTGTGTGGGGTGGGGGTGTGTGGGGTGTGGTGGTTTTTGGGTGTGGGGGTGTGTGGGGTGGGTGTGTGGGGTTGTGGTTGTGGGGGTGGGTTTGTTGGGTGGGTGTGTGGGGGTGGTGTGTGGGGGTTGGTGTGTGGGGGTGGGTTGTGAGGGGGTGGGGTGTGGGGGTGGGGTTTGTGGGGGTGGGTGTGGGGTGGGGTTGGTGGGGTGGGGGTTTTGGGGGTGGGGTGTGTGGTGGTGGTTGTGGGGTGGGTGTGTGGGGGGGTGGGTGTGTGGGGTGGGGTGTGTGGGGTGGGGTTTGTGGGGGTGGGGTGTGGTGGTTGGGGTGTGTGGGGGTGGGTTTGTGGGGGTGGGGGTGTGGGGTGTGGGGTGGGTTGTGGTGGTGGGTTGTGGGGGTGGGTGTGTGTGTGGGGTGTGTGGGTGGGGTGTTTGGGTGGGGTGGTATGGGGGTGGTGTGTGGGGGGAGGGGTGTGTGGGGGGTGGGTTGTGGGTGGGTGTTGGGGGTGGGTTGTGGGGGGTTGTGGGGGTGGGTGTGTGGGGTGGGGTGTGTTGGGTTGGGGTGTGTGGGGTGGGTGTGTGGGTGGGGTGTGTGGGGTGGGTGTGTGGGGTGGGGTTTGGTTGGGTGTGTGGTGGTGGGTGTGTGGGGGGTGGGGTGTGTGGGGTGGGTGTTGGGTGGTTGTGTGGGTGGGTGTGTGGGGGGGGGGGTGTGTTATTAGTTAGTTGTATATGGAGGGGTTGGTTGTTGTATATGGAGGTGAGTGTTTTGGGAGGTGGTTGTTTATTTTGGGGTTTGTGTGTTGTGGGGTTGTGGGTGTTGGGGTTTGGGTGTTTGGTGGTGGTAGTTTGTGGGGTGGTGTGGGGGATTTGGTGTGGGTTGGGTTTGGGGTGTGGGTTGTGGTGGGTGGGGTGTTTGGGGTGTTGTGTGTGTGGGGGTGGGGTGTGTGGGTGTGGGTGTGTGGGGGTGGGGTGTGTGGGGTTGTTGTGGGTGGGGGTGGGGTGTGTGGGGGTGGGGTGTGTGGGGTGTGGGGTGTGTGGGGGTGGGTTGTGTGGGGGTGGGTGTGTGGGGTGGGTGTGTGGGGGTGGGTGTTTGGGTGGGGTGTGGTGGGTGGGTTGTGTGGGGTGTGGTTGTGTGGGGTGGGGTGTGGGTGTGTGTGGTGTGGGGGTTTTTGTTGGTTGGTTGTGTGGGTGTGTTGGGGGTGGGTTTGGGGTGGGTTTGTGGGGGTGGGGGGGGGGGGGGGGGGTGGTGGGGGGGGGTGGGGGGGTGGTGGGGGGGGGTGGGTGGTGGGGGTGGGGTTTGTGGGGGGTTGGGGGTGGTGGTTTGTTGGGGTGTTGGTGTTGGTGGGGGTTGTGGGGGTGGGGGTTGTGTTGTGTTGGGGTGGGGGGTGTGTGGTGGTGTTGTTGGGTTTGGGGGGTGTTGGGTTTGTTGGTGGGGGGGGTGGGGGTTTGGGGGGGGGTGGTGTTGTGGTGTTGTTGTGGGGGGGGGGGGTTGGGGGTGTGGGTGTGGGGGTGGGGGGTGGGGGGGGTGGGGGGTGTGTGGGTGGGGTGGGGTGTTTGGGTGGGGGGTGGGGGGGGGGGTGGGGGGTTGGGGGGTGGTTGGGGGGGGGTGGGTTGGTGGGGTGTGTGGGGGGGAGTTGGGGGGGGGTTTGGGGTGGGTGTGGGGGGGTGGGGGGGGGGTGGGGGTGGGGGTGGGTGTGGGGGGTGGGTTGTGGGGGTGTTTGGGTTTTGTGTGTTGGTGTGGGTTGTTGGGGGGGTGGGTGGGGGGTGGTGGTTGTGGGTGGGTGTTTGGTTGGGTTGGGTGTGGGGGGGGGTGGGGGTGTGGGTGGGGTGTGTGGGGGGTGTGGTTGGGTTGGGGGGGGGGGGGTGTGGTAGGTGTAGATGGGAGGGGGTGGTTGGGGTGGTTGGGGTGTTGGTTTGGGTTGGGGTGGTTTTTGTGGGTGTTTTGTGTTGTTTTGTGTGGTTGATGTGGTTGGATTTGGTGATTTGGTTGGTGGTTGTGTGGTTGGTGTTGGTGGGGTTTGTTGTTTGGTGGGGGTGTGTGTGTATATTGTGGGTGAGGAGGAAGTTGATTTTTTGTTGTGGGGTTGTTGGTGGTGGGAGTGTGGTTTGGTGTGTTAGTGGGGTGTGGTGGTGGGTGTGTGGTTTTTGTTGTGTGGGTTGTTGGTTGTTGGATTGTTTGTGATTTAGGTGTGGGGGGGGGTGGTTGGGAGGTGTGGGGTGGGGTGTGGGGGGGGGTATTTGTGTGGGTTGTGGTTTTTGATTGTGGGTTAGGTTGGGTTGTTTGTGGTGTTTTGTGGGTGGGTTGGGTGGGGGGGGGGTTGGTTGGTTTTGTGTTGGAGGGGGGGTGGGGGGGGGGGGGGGGGGGTTGGGGTGGGGTGTGGGGGGGGGTGGGGGGGTTGGGGGTGGTTGGTGTGGTTGGATGTGGGTTGTGGGGGGGGGTGAGGTGGGTGTGGGGGTTTGGGTTGTTGGTATTGGGGGGGTTTGTAGTTGTTTGTTTGGGGAGTTTATTTGGTTTTTGTGTTTGGTGGGGGTGTGTTGGTGGTTTGTGTTTGAGGTTTTGGATGTGGGGGTTTGGTTGGTGGTTTGGTGGTGGGGTGGGTGTGTTGGTGTTTGGGGGTGTGGGGGGTTGGGGTGTTTTGTGAGGTTGATTTGTAGTTGTGTGTTTGGGGTTGGTGGGGTTGGTGGGGTTTTGTGGTGTGTGGGTGGGTGTTGTTGGTTTGTTTGGGGGTGGGGGTTTGTGTTTGGTTATTTGTTATTGTTTGTGGGGGGGGGTGGTGGGTTTGTTGGGTGGGGGGTGGGTTGTGGGGGTTTTTGTGTGGTGGATTTGTGGGTGTTTTTTGGGTGTGGTGGGTTTTTTTGTTGGGTTTGGGTGTGTGGTGTAGGGTGTTTGTGTGTTGGTTGGTTTGTGGTGGGAATTGGGGGGGGTGTGGTGTGTGTGGTGGGGTGTTGTTTGGGGGGGGTGGGTTGGTGGGGGGGGGTTTGTGGTTGGGGGTTGTGGGGTGGGGGGTGGATGGTGTGGAGGGTTGTGTGTGTGGTGGGTTTGATTTGTTTGGTTGGGTTGGTTGTTGGTTTGTTGTGTAGAAGGATGAGGGAAGTATAAGGGGATGAGTGAGAGTAGGTGAGGGAAAAGAGGGAGATGTATGATTTGGGAAGTGTGGAAGGTTATGGGTTTGTGTGTGTTATGGTATGTGAAGAGTATGAAGGGAAGAAGTGGAGTTTTAGGAAGAGGGTGAATGTTTTGGGGATTGTGAGATGTATGATGGGGATGAGTGAGTGTTATGTGGAAGAGTGAGAGTATTAGGATGAGGAGTGTTTATGGGTTGTGGGTTGAGGAGTTTGTTGGTTGTGTGTAGTTGTTGGGTAGATTTTGTATTTTGGGATTGTGGGTGTGTTTTTTTGGGGGTTGTGTGTGTGTTGTTGGGTTGATGGAAGTGGTTTTGTGTTTGTGTTTGTGGTGTTGGGGAAGTGTGTGTGTTTGTTGGGTAGTGTGTGATTTATGGATAGAAGTGTAGTAGTTGGTGTTGTGTGTGTGTATGAAGGGGGTTATTGTGGTGGTTATGGGGGTTGTGTTAGATTTTTGGGATGTGTGTAGAGATGTGGGTAGTGTTAATGTATAAGGGGAAGTGTATGAGTATTTGGGTTGTGTTTGTGATTTGGGGGGTTGAGTGTTGTGGAGTTGGTTGTGTGATGTGTTTGTTGGGTTGTGGATAGTTATGGGAAGAGTGAGAGTTTATGGGGTTGTTTTGTGGGTTATGTTTGTTTTGTTTTGTTGGTAGTGTATGTGTTTTTGGTTGAGGTTGAGGTTTTGTGGTTGTGTTGTGTTTTGGTTGGGGTTGTATGAGTATATGGGGAAGGGGAGTGTATTAGGGGTTTGTTGTGTGTGTTTGATGTGTTGTTGTAGTGTATATTGGAGAAGAGTGAGAGTATAAGGGGAAAGTAAGAGTATTAAGGGTTAGTTGAGAGTATTGTTGGGATAGTGTGGGTTTTTTGGGGGTTAGTGTGTGAGTTATGGGTAGTGTAAGAGTATAAGGGGAAGAGTGAGAGTATGAAGGGGAAGAGTAAGAAGTATTAGGGTAAGTTTGAAGAGTATAAGAGAAGAGTGGAGAGTATAAAGGAAAGAGTAAAGAGTATGATGGGAAGAGTGAGATGTAAAGAGTGAGAGTATAAGGGGGAAGAGTAGGAAGTGTTATGAAGGGGATAGAGTTTGAGTATAAGGGGATGTTGTGAGTTTTATGGGGAAGAGTAAAAGAAAGGGAAGAGTATGAGTATTAGGGATGTGTTAAGGATAAGGAAGAGTGGAGAGTATAAGGGGAGATGGAGAGTATGAAGGGAAAGAGTGGAGAGTATGAAGGGGGAAAGTGAGATATAAGGGAATAGTTAGGAGTGTTGGTAGGGAAGTGTGAGAGTTTAAGGGGAAGAGTGATGTATGAAGGGGAAGATGAGAGTTTATGGGGGTAGAGTGTAAGTAATAGGGATGAGGAAGGTTAAGGGAAGAGTGAAGAGTATAAGGGAAGAGTGAGAGTATATGGGTAGTGTGAGAGTATAAGGGGGATGAGTGTTGGTTATGGGGTAGTTGGAGAGTATAATGGGTGGGTGGGAGAGTTTATGGGAAGTGGATTATGTTTAGGGTTGTGTGGAGATTTTGGGTGGTGTTTGTGGTTTATGGGGTTGTGTGTGGTTTTTGGGTTTGTGTTGAGTGTTTAGGGGTTGTGTTGTTTGTTGGGAATGTGTGAGTGTTTGGAAGAGAGTGAGAGTATGAAGGGGAAGAGTTGAAGGTGTTTTGGATTGTGAGTGGTGTTGGGATGTGGTTGAGTTTTAGGGAAGATGTGATGAGTGATTAGAGATAGAGTATTGTATGTTGGGAAGATGGTGAGTTTATGGGTGTGGAGATGTTGTTGGAATGGGAAGTGGTGAGTGTATGTTGGGAAGTGTGAGTGTTTTTTGGGTATGTGGTAATGTATGTTGGGGATGAGTGGTGAGTGTGTTGGGATGATGTGAAGAGTAGATGGGGAAGAGTGGAGAGTATGAAGGGGGAAGAGTGGAGAGTTTGAAGGGGAAAGAGTGAAGAGTAATTAAGGGAAGAGGAGAGTATAAGGGGAAGAGTGTGAGTATAGGGGAAGAGTGAAGTGTATAGTAGGGGAAGATGGAAGAGAGTTTATGGGGAAGAGTGGTGTAGGAGGGTGAGGTGATATTGGAGGATTTGGGTGTTTTGGATTGTGTGGGATTTTGTTTTGGTTATGTGGGGTTATTTGTGGTGTGTTAAGGTGTGGGTTTTGGGGGGTGTTGGTTTGTTTTGTGGGTAGAAATTTGGGGGATAATTGGGAGTATGGGTGTAGAGAGTAGTAGGTATGGTTAGAAGGGGGGGGAAATGAGAGGGGGGGGGATAGGGTTTAGGTGGGGGGGGAATGTTTTAGGGTATGGATTTGGATGTTTGTGGGGGATAGGGAGGGGGGGGTTGGGTGGTGGGTGTATGGTGGGGTAGGGGGTGGGTTGGGGTGGTGTGGTGGGGGGTGGTGAGGGAGTAATGGAGTAGGATGATGTTTATTTGTGGGTAGTTTTAGGGTTATTGGTGTTTTTGGGGGTTAGGGGGGTAGGGATTGGTTGGGGATGTGGGTATATAAGGTGGTATTTAGTTGGGGGAGGAGGATAGTTGTGGGGGGGGGTGTGGAGGGGTGTTGTTGGGGGATGGTTTGATTGGGTGAGGAGAGGGGTGGTGAGGGTGTTGTTTTGTGTTGGTTTGTGGGTTGTTGAGTTGGGGGTTTGGTTGTATGAATAAGTTTGTTTTTTAATTTGGTGGAGGGTAGGGTGTGTGGGAAGGTATGGATGGGAGGGTGTAATGGGATGATGGGTGGGTGGATTGGAGTATTGGGGGAAGTTTGAGTTGAGGGTGATGTTGGGATTGAGATTTGTTTAAGATTGGGGAGAGGGGTGGGTTAGGTTGGGTTTGTTTAGAGGTAGTGGGGGAGGGAGTTTATGGATTTATGGGGATGTTTAGGGGTAAGGTTAATAGGGGAAATATTTGGATGGTAGTTGGGTTTTTGGAAAGAAGATGTGTATTTTGTGGGTATTAATGGGGTTAATGGAATTTTGAGTGAGTTGAATGGATAGAGGATCGGAGGGAATGGGGGTAGTTATTTATATTTAGGGGTGTATAGGGTTTATAGGATTAGAGATGGGATGGTTATGGGGGAGATGGGGATAGGATGGGGTTGGGGGGTTGTTTGTTGGGGGGAGGTTTTTATTGTAGTTGGGGTGTAGGGGAGGGTATGGAGAGAGGTGGGTTGATTGGGGGGAGGGGTTTTAGTTGAGAGGGGGGAGTAATAATAGTGTAAGTAGGATAGTTGAAATAGGGTGGGGTGATGGGGGAAGGGATTTATTGTTAAATAGGAAGTGTGGAAAAATAGATGTTGAATTGAAGAAAGGTAGATTGTAAGTTTGGTGATTGTGGGGAGGAAGGGTTAGGGGGGTAGAGGTAGAATAAAAAAGTAAATTTTTGGGGGTTGTTGTATTTGGTGGGGTGGTGGTGGTTTGGATGAAAGTTGAATTGAAGATGGTGTTGTGGAGGTGGATAGAATTGGTTATGGGGGTATGTGTTGTGTGATGGGGGGGGGTAATGAAGGTTGGGGGTGTTGGGTATGTTTGAAGATTGTGAGGTGATGGGTTGGTGTAGGGGTTTTTTTTTGGTTTTGAGGGTATGGTGTGTTTAAGGTATTAGAAAAGGTTTTTATAAGGGGGGAGGATTATGGGAGGATGTGATGTGGGGGAGAAGATTATGTAAGGTTATTTGGGGGTGTGGATTATGAAGGAATTATGGGGTGGAGGGAGTGGTTGGGGGGGGGTGATGGGGGGGGTTTTAGTGGGGGTTGGTATTTGTGGTAGGGTTAATGAGTGGGATATGGTGTGGGGGTGTGGGATTTAGGGGGGGTGAGTGAGATTTATTAGTTTGAGTGTTTTTTTGGTGTGTGTGTTTTTTTTGGGGGTATATATGTTGTATTGGTGGGGGGAGGGGGGGTGGTTGGTTTTGTTTGTGGGTGTGTTGTGGTTGTTTTTGGGTTTTTGAGTTGTGTTGGGGGGTATGGGTGGGTATGGTTGTTGTTTGGGTTGGTGTGTGGGGGGGTGATGGGGTGTGTTTGTGGGTGGTTGGGGGTGTTGGGGGTGGGGGGGGGTGTGGTGTGTGGGGGGGGGGGTGGGGGGGTTGGAGTTTAGTTTTTGGTGTTTTGGTGTGGGAGGGTTGGTGTTAGTGGTTGTGGGGGAATTTTTTAGAAAGTAAGTGAGAGTTTTTGGTAGTAAGGTATAGTTGGTTAGAGTGGTTTGGGTTGGTATTGGGTGGTGTTGAGGATTTGTTGATGGTGGTTGTATTTGGTTGATTGGGTAGGGGGAGGGTTGGTTTTGTTTTTTGGGTGCGGGGGGGTGTTGTTTTTATGGGATGTTGTGGGGGGTTGGGTGGGTTGGTGGGGGGGTGGGGTGTGGGGGGGGGGTGGTTTGGTGGGGGTGGTTGGGTTTTGGGGTGGGGGGGTTGGGTGTGGTTTTGTGTGGTTGTGTGGTTTTGGGTGTGGTGGGTTTTTGGGTTTTGGTGTGGGTGTTGGGTGGGGGTGTTTGGGTGTGTGGTGGTGGGTGTTGTGGGTTTTTGGTTTGTGGTTATTGGGGGTTGTTGGTTTGGTGTGGGGGGGGTTTGGGTTTTGGGGGGGGGGTGGGTGTTGTTGTTGTGGGTTTGTTTGTGGTTGTGGGGTGGGTGTGGTGGTGTGGTTGGGGGTGTGTGGGGGGGGGGGTGTTGGGGGGGGGGTGGTGTGGGGGGGTGGTGGGGTGGTTGTTGGGTTTTGGGTGGGTGGGGGGGGGGGGGTGTTGTTTTTTGGGTGGTGTGTTGTGGTGTGGGTTTTGGTTGTTGTTTTGTGGTTTGGGGGGGGTGGGTGGTGGTGGGGTGGGTGGGGTGGGGGTGTGGTGGGGGTGGTGGTTTGGTGTGGGGGGGGGGTGGGGGGGGTGTGTGGGTGGGGGGGGGGGTGGGTTGGGGGGTTTTGGGGGGGTGGGTGTTGTGGGGGGGTGGGGGGGGGGTGGGGTGGGGGGGTGTGTTGTGAGGTGTGTGGTGTTTGGTTGGTGGTTGGGTGGGTGGGTGTTTGTGTGTGGTGGGGTGGTTAGGTTTTGGTTTTTTGGGTGTGGGGGGGGGTTGGTTTTGGTGGGGGTATGGTGTGTGGTTGGGTTTTTTTGTGGTGTGTGGAGTAGTTGGGGGGTTGGGGTGTTTTGGTGGGGGGTTTGGTGGTGGTTTAGTGTGGTTGTGTGGTGGGGTTTGATTTTTATGGTTTTTGGATTGAGTTTGTTTGGGGTTTGTTGTATGATGGTGTTTTTGGTTTTTGGGGTTTGGGGTAGTTTGGGGGTGGGTGTGGGGTGGGGGGGTGGTGGGGTTGGTGTGGGGGGGGGGGTTGGGGGTGGGTGTGTGGTGGTGGGTGGTGGTTGGTTGGTGTTGTTTGGGTTGGGGGGGTGGTGGGGGGGGGGGGGGGGGGGGGTGGTGGGGTGGTGGGGTGGGGGGGGGGGGGGGTGTGGGGGGGGTGGTGGGGGGGGTGGGGGGGGGGTGGGGTGTGGGGGGGTGGTTTGGGGGTGTTGGGTTTGGGTGTGTGGGGGTGGGTTTGGGTGGGTGTGTGGGGGTGGGGTGTTGGGGGTGGGGTTGTGGGGTGGGGGTGTGGGGTGGGGTGTGTTGGGGTGGGGTTTGTGGGGTGGGGGTGTGTGGGGGGTGGGTTTTGGTGGGGGTGGGGGTGTGGGTGGGGGTGGGGTGTGTGGGGGGTGGGGTGTGTGGGTGGGGTTTGGGGTGGGGGGTTGGTGTTTGGGGGTGGGGGTTGTGGGGGAGGGTTGTTTGGGGTGGGGAGTGTGGGGGGGTGGGTGTGGGGGTTGGGGGTGGGGGTTTTTGGTGGTTTGGTTGGGTGGTGGGGGTTTGTGGGGGTGTGGGTGTGGTGGGGGGTGGGGTTTGGGTGGGGTGGGGTTGTGGGGTGGGGGTGTGTGGGGGTGGGGTGTGTGGGGGTGGGGTGTGGTGGGTTGGGGGTGTGTGGGGGTGGGTTGTGTGGGGTGGGGGGGTTGTGGGGGTGGGGTGTGGGGTGGGGGTGGGTGTTGGGGGTGGGGTGTGTGGGGGTGGGGTTGGTGGGGTGTGGGGTGTGTGGGGTGGGGTTTGTGGGTGTGGGGTGTGTGGGGGTGGGGTTGTGGGGTTGGGTGTGTGGGGTGGGGTGTTGGGGTGGGGTGTGTGGGGGTGGGGTGTTGGGGGTGGGGTTGTGGGTGGGGTGTGTGGTGGGTTTGTGGGTGGTGTGGTGGGGTGGGGTGTGTGGTGGGGTGTTGGGTGGGTGTGTGTGGGGGGGGGGGTGTGGGTGTGGTGGGTGTGGGGTTGTGGGGGTGGGGGTTGTGGGGGTGTGTTTGTGGGGTGGGGTGTGTGGGGGTGGGGGGTGTGTGGGTGGGTTGTGGGGGGGGGTTTTTTTGGGGGGGGGGGGGGGGGTTGGGGGTGTGGGGGGTGGGGGTGTGGGGGTGGGGGTTTGGGGTGGGTGTGTGGGGGTGGGGGTTGTGGGGTGGGTTTTGGGGGTGGGGTGTGTGGGGGGTGTGGTGTGTGGGTGTGGGGGTGTGGTGGGGGTGGGGTTGTGGTGGGTGTGTGGGGGTTGGGGGTGTGTGGGGTGGGGTTGTGGGGGTGGGTGTGGTGGGGGTGGGTTGTGTGGGGGTGGTGTGTGGGGGTGGTGTGTGTGGGGTGGGGTGTGGTGGTGGGTTGTTGGTGGTGGTGTGTTGTGGGGTGGGGTGTGTGGGGTGGGTTTGTGGGTGGTTTGTGGGGTGGGTTTGTGGGGTGGGGTTGTGGGTGGGGTGTGTGGGGGTGGGGTGTGTGGGGGTTTGTGGTGTGTGGGTGTGTTGTGGGGTGGGGTGTGTGGGGGTGGGGGTGTGTGTGGTGGGGGTGTTTGGGTGGGGGGTGTTTGGGGGTGGGGTGTTGGGGTGGGGTGTGGTGGGGGGTGGGGTTGGTGGGTGTGGTGGGTTTTGGTGGGTTGTGGTGGTTGTGGGGGGTGGGGGGGTGTGGGGGGTGTGTGGTGGTTGGGTGGGGTTTGGGTTGTGTGTGGGTGGGTGGGGTGTTAGGTGGGTGTGTGTGTGGGGTGGGGTGTGTGGGGGTGGGGTGTGTGTGGTGGGGTTGTGGTGGGGGTGGGGTTGGTGGGGGTGGTTGTGTGGGGGTGTGGTTGTGTGGGTGTGTGTGGTGGGGGGGGGTGTTTTTTGTGTTGTTGTGTGTGGGGTGTGTTGGGGGTGGGTTGGTGGTGGGTTGTGGGGGTGGGGGGGGGGGGGGGGGGGGTGGTGGGGGGGGGGGGTGGGGGGGGTGGTGGGGGGGGGGTGGGGGTTGGTGGGGGGGGGGGGGTTGTGGGGGGTGGGTTGGGGGTTGGTTGGTTGGGTGTTGGGTGTGTTGTGGGGGTTGTGGGGGTGGGGGTTGTGTGGGTGGGGTGGGGTTGGGGGGGGTGTGGTGGTGTGTTGTTGGGGTTTGGGGGGTGTTGGGTGTGTGGTGGGGGGGTGGGTGTGGGGGTGGGTGGTGGTTGGTGTGTGTGGTGGTGGGGGGGGGTGGGGGGGTGTGGGTGTGGGGTGGGGGGGTGGGGGGGTGGGGGTTGTGGGTGGGGTGGGTGTGTGGGTGGGGTGGGGGGGGGGGGGGTGGGGGGGTGGGGGGGTGGTTGGGGGTGGGGTGGTTGGTGGGGGGGGGGGGGTTGGGGGGTTTTGGGTGGGGTGGTGGGGGGGTGGGGGGGGTGGGTGGGGGTGGGGTGGGTGTTGGGGGGGGTGGTTGTGGGGGGTGTTGGTTTTGTGGTGTGGTGTGTGTTGTGTGGGGGGGTGGGTGGGGGGGTGTGGTTTGGTTGTGTGGGGTGGGGTTTGGGTGGTTGGGGGGGGTGGGGGGTGTGGGTGGGTGTGTGGGGGGGGTGGTTGGGGGTGGGGGGGTGTGTGTTGTGTGGGGTGTGGTGGGTGGGGGGGGGTGGTGTGGGGGTGTTTGGTGGGGTGTTTGGTTTGTTTTTGTGGTTGTTTGGGGTTGGGTGTGGGGGGGGGGTGGGGGGGGTGGGGGGTGGGGGGGGTTGGGGTGTGGGGGGGTGGGGGTTTGGGGGGGGTGGGTTGTTGGTGGTGGTGGTGGGGGGGGGGGGGGGGGGGGGGTGGGTGGTGGGGGGGGGGTTGTGGGGGGGTGGGGGGGTGGGGGGGGGGGGGGGGGGTGGGTGGGGGTTTGTGGTGTGTTGTTGGTGGGGTGGGTGGTGTGTGGTGGTGGGGGGGGGGGGGGGGGGGGTGTTGTTGTGGGGGGGTGGTGTGTTGGGTGGGGTGTGGGGGTGGTGTTGTGGTGGGTTGGTGGGGGGTGGGGGGGGGGGGGTGGTGGGTGTGTGTGGTGGGGGTGGGGGGGGGGGTGGGGGGGTTGGGGTGGGTGGGGGGGGGTGGGGGGGTGGGGGTGGGGTTGGTGGTGTGGTGTGTTGTGGGGGGGGTTGGGGGGGGTGGGGGGGTTGGGGGGGGTGTTTGGGGGGGGGTGGTTGTGGGGGAGGGGGTGTTGTGGGTGGGTGGGGTGGGGGGGTGGGTGGGGGGGGTTGTGTGGTGGTGTGGGTTTGGGTGGGGGGGGGTTTGGGGTTGGGGTGGTGGGGTGTTGGTTGTTGGGGTTGGGGGGGTGTGGTTGGGTGGGGGGTTTTGTGGTGGTGTGGGTGGTGGTGGTTGGGTTGGTGGGGTGGGGGGGGGGGGTTGGGGGGTGGGGGGTGGGGGTTGGGGGTGGGGGGGGGGGGGGTGGGGTGGGTTGGGTTTTTGGGGTTTGGTAGTGGGGGGGGTGGGGGGGGGGGGGGGGGTGGGTTGTTGGGGGGGTTGTGTGTGGGGGGGTTGTTGGGGGTGGTGGTTGGGTGGGGGTGGTTGTGTGGGGTTGGTTTGGGGTGTGTGTGGTGGTTGGGGGGGTTGGTGGGGGTGTGGGTTTGGGGGGGTGGGGTGGGTGGGGTGGTGGGGGGTGGTGGGTGGGGGTGGGGGGTGGTGGGGGGGGGGGGGGTGGGGGTTGGGGTTGTGGGGGTGGGGGGTGTGGGGGGGTGGGGGTGTGTGTGTTTGTTGTGTGTGGGTTTGGGTGTGGTTGGGTGTGGTGTGGTGTTGGGTTTTGGGTGTGGTGTTGGGGTTGTGGGTGTGTGGTGGTTGTGTTGGTGGTTGGGTTTGTGGGTGTGGTTTGGGGTTTGGGTGTGGTGTTGGTTGTGGGTTGTGTTGGTTGTGGGTGTGTGTTGGGTTTGTTGTGTTTGGGGTTTGTGGTTTGGTGTTTGGGTTGTGTTGTGTGGGTGTTGTGGGTGTGGTTTTGGGGGTTTGTGGGTGGTTTTTGGGTTGTGGGTGTGGTGTTGGGTTGTGGTGTGTTGTTGGGTTGTGGTGTGTGTTGGGTTGTGGGTTGGTGTTGGGTTGGGTGTGGTGTTGGGTTGTGTTTGTGTTGTATGGTGTAGTGTGTTGTTTTTTGGGTTGTGTGTTGGTGTGGGTTGTGTGTGTGTGTGGTTGGGTTGTGTGTGTTTGTTGTTGTTGTGGGTTGGTTAGTTGTGTGTTGTATGTTGGGGTTGTGTTTGTGTTGTTGGTTTTTGGGTTGGAAGAGTGAGTGTTTGTAGAGTTTTTATTTTTTGGGTAGTGTTTGTGATGGAAGTGTAGTTGGGGGATGTGGGTGTTGTTTGTTTGGGGGTTGTGTTAGAGGGGAAGAGTGGAAGAGTATGAAGGGGGAAGAGTGGAGAGTATGAAGGGGAAGAGTGGAGAGTTTGAAGGGGGAAGAGTGGGGAGTATGATGGAAGAGGGAAAAGTATGAAGGGAAGAGTAGTTAGTTATAGGTTTGTTTGGTTATGGGGGAGAGTTTGAGTATAAGGGGGTAGTAGTGTGAGTTGTTGTGTATGTGTGGTGTGGTTTTGTGATTGTGTATGTGTTTGTAGGGATGTAGTGTGATGGTATTGTGGTGAGTATGATGGGGAAGAGTGGAGTGTTTGAAGGGAAGGTTTGTGTTTATGGGATGTGGTGTGTATGTTGGGTATGTGGTTGTGTTGTTGGGTTGTGTTTGTGGTTTTGGGTTTGTGTATGTGTTTATTTGGGGATGTGTGTGTGTGTTGGGTTGTGTGTGTGTTGTGGGTTGTGGTGTGTGTTGTAGGTTTGTGGGAGTGTTGTTGGTTTGTGTGAGTGGTTTTGGTTGTTGGGTTGTGTGGTTGGGTTGTGTGTGTGGTGTTGGGTTGTGGTGTGGATGTGGGGTTGTGGGTGTGTTTTAGGGGTTGTTGGGTTGTGTGTTGGGTTTGGTGTGGTTTTGGGTTTGTTTGGGTTTTGTTGGGTTGATGTGTGTGTTTTGGGTATGGTGAGTGGTGTTGGTTGTGGTGTGGTTTTGGGTGGTGGGTGTGTTTTGGGTTTGTGGTTGTGGTGTTGGGTTGTGGGGTTGTGTTGGTTGGGGTGGTGGTTGTGGTTATGGGGTTGTGGGGTGTGTAGGAGGGTTGTGTGGTGTGTGTTTGGGGGTAGTGTGTTGTGTTGGTTTGGTTGTGTGTGTGGTGTGGTTGTGTGGTGTGTTATGTTTTGTTTGTGTTGGTTGGTTTGTGTTGTGGTGTTGGGTTGTGGGGTGTGGTGTTGGTTGTGTGTGTGGTGTTGGGTGTTGGGGGTTGTTTGTGGGTTGAGGGTGAGTGTGTTGGGGTTGTGTGATTGGTGTGTTTGGTTGTGGTTGTGGTGTTGGGTTGTGGGTGTGTGTTGTTGTGGGTGTGTGGTGTGGTTGAGGTTGGTGGGGTTGGGTTGTGGTGTGAGTTTGGGGTTTGGTGTGGTGTGGGTTGTGTTGTTGTTGGGATAGTGGGTGTGGTGTTGGGGGTTGTGGGGTGTGGTGTTTTGGGGTTGTGTGGTGTGTGTGTTGGGGTTTGAGTTTTGGTTTTGGGATGTGGTGTGGTGTGGTTTGGGGTGTTGTATGGTGGGGTGGTTTGGGTGGTGGAGGTTTTGGTTTGGGGTGTTTGTTTGGGTGTTTGTGGGGTGTGGGGTGGGTGGTTGTTTGGGGTGGGGTGTGGTGGGGGGGGTTGGGTGGGGGGGGGGGTGTTTGGGGGTGTTGTGGTGGTGGGGTGTGGGTGGGGGTGGTGGGGTGGGGGTTGGGGGGTGGGGTGGGGGGTGTGGGGGGTTGAGGGGGGTTTGGGGGGGTGGTTGTGGGTTTGGGGTGGGGGTGTTGGTTGGGGGGGTTGGGTGTGGGGTGGTAGGGGGGGAATGGGTTGGGGTTGGGGGGGGGTGGGGGGGGGGGGGGGGTGTGTGGTGTTTGGTGGTGTGTTTGTGGTTGGGGGGGTGGGGGGGTTGTTGGGGGGTTTTGGGGGGGTGGGGGTGGTGGGTTGGTGGGTGGGGGTTTGTTGGGGGTGTGTGTTGTGGGGTGGGGTGTGGTGGTGGGGGGGGGGTGGGTGGTGTGGTGGGGTGGTGGGTGGGGTGTGTGTGTTGTGGGGTGGGGGGGTTGGGGTTGGTGGGGGGTTGTGTGGTGTGTGGGGGGGTTGGTGGGTGGTTTTTTGGTGGGGGGGGGGTGGGGTGGGGTGTGGTGGGTGGTGGGGTGGGGGGTTGGGTGGTGGTGGGGGTTTGGGTGGTTTGGGGGGTGTGTGTTGGGGGGTTGGGTGGGTGGGTGGTGGGGGATGTGGTTGTGGGGGGGGGTTGGTGGGGTGTGGGTGGGGGGTGTTGGGGTGGGTGGGTTGTGGTGGTGGTGGGTTTGGGGGTTGTGGTTTTTTTGGGTGGGGGGGGGGATTGGTGGGGTGGTGGGGGGGGGGTGGGGGGGTTGGGGGGTTGGTTTGGGGTGGGGGGTGGTTGGTGTGTGTGTGTTGGGGGGGGGGTGGGTGTTGTGGGTGGGGTTGGGGGTTGTGTTGTTGTTGGTGGGGTTGGGGGGGTGTTGTGGTGTGTTGGGGTGGGGGGGGGGGGGGGGTGGGTGGGTGGGGGGGGGGTGGTGTGGTGTTGTGGGGTGGGGTGGGGGGGTGTGTGGGGGGTGGGGTTTGTTGTGGTTGGGTGTGTTTGTTTTTGGGGTGGGGGGTGTGGGGGGTTGGTGTGTGTGTTGGGTTTGTGGTTGGGGTTTTTGTGTTGGTGGTGTGTTTGGGTTGTGGTTGGGTGGGGTGTGTTGTGTTGGGGTGGGTGTGTGTTTTGTTTTTTTGTTTTGGGTGGGGGGGGGGGGGGGGGGGGGGGTGGTAGGTTGTTGTTGGTGTTTGGGGGGTTGGTGTTTGGGTGGGTGGGGGGTGGGGGTTTGGTTGGGGGGGGTGGGTTGGGTTGTGGGTGTGGGGTTGGGGGGGGGGGTGGGGGGGGGGGGGGGGGGGGGTGTGGGGGGGGGGATGGTGGTGTTGGGGGGTTATGGGTGGTGGGTGGGGTTTGGTGGGGTTGGGGGTTTGTGTGGGTTGGTGGGGGGGGGGTGGTGTTTGTTGGTGGGTGGTGTGGTGGGGGGGGGGGTGGGGGGGGGGTGGGGGTGGGTGGGGGGGTGGGGTTTGTGGTGTGGGTGGGGGTGGGTTGATGGGGGGTGTGTGTTGTTTGTGTGGGGGGGGGGTGGGTTGTGGGGGGGTTTTGGGGGGTTGGTGGGGGGGTGGGGGGGGTTTGGGTTGGTTGGGGGGTGGGGTGTGGTGGTGGGGGGGGTGTGGGTGGTTGGTTGTGGTGGTGTGTGTGGGTGGTGTTGGGGGTGTGTGGGGGGGGTGTGGGTGGGTGGGTTGGGGGGGGTGGGGAGGGGGGGGGTGGGGGGTTGGGGGGGGTGGGGGGGGGGTGGTGGGGTGGGGGGGGGGGGGGTGGTGGGGTACGTTGGGTGGGTTGGGTTTGTTGTTGAGTTTTGGTGGGTGTTTTTGGAGTGTGTTGAAGTGGTGGTTGGTGTGGTCAGAGAGTGGTTGTTTGTTGGTGGTGGTTTGGGGGTTGAGTGGTGTGGTGGTGGGTGTTTGGGGTGTGCACGTTTTTTTGTTTGGTTTTGAGGGGGGGTTGGGGCCTGGGGGACGGGGGTGGGGTGGGGGGGTGGTTCACTGGGGAGCTGGTCAGGCGGGGTCACAGCAGAGACGTGCGTCTCGGCTCGGAGCCCAGACGGGTGCCGTTTGAGCTGTCAGAGCGGGGGTCACAGCAGCGTCGGGCCAGGTGAGGATGTAACGTAACGTTCGGTTTATCAAAACATATCACAATATTTAACGTATAAAACACTAGTGAATTTCACCTAGGATTTTTTCAGACATTAAAGCACAAGATATTATATAATAATTGTTTAATGAAAAAACAATTTTGCCACAAGCAACCAAAAGATGTGCCTCAGACAAGAATCGAACCTGGGTTCTCCAGGTCCCTGTATTTAATGCTATCCATTCGGCCAACAAAGCACCTCTGGGCTAGACAGGTGCTGCGAGAGATGCGAGCAGAGAGAGAGAGAGATGCGAGCAGAGAGAGAGAGATGCGAGCAGAGAGAGAGAGACGTGAGCAGAGAGAGAGGGACACGAGCAGAGAGAGAGACGTGAGCAGAGAGAGAGACGTGAGCAGAGAGAGAGGGACACGAGCAGAGAGAGAGACGTGAGCAGAGAGAGAGACGTGAGCAGAGAGAGAGACGCGAGCAGAAAGAGAGAGACGTGAGCAGAGAGAGAGAGGCGTGAGCAGAGAGAGAGAGAGGTGAGCAGAGAGAGAGAGAGAGACGCGAGCAGAGAGAGAGAGAGGTGAGCAGAGAGAGAGAGGCGAGCAGAGAGAGAGAGACGCGAGCAGAGAGAGAGAGATGCGAGCAGAGAGAGAGAGAGATGCGAGCAGAGAGAGAGAGAGAGATGCGAGCAGAGAGAGAGAGAGATGCGAGCAGAGAGAGAGAGATGCGAGCAGAGAGAGAGAGATGCGAGCAGAGAGAGAGAGACGTGAGCAGAGAGAGAGGGACACGAGCAGAGAGAGAGACGTGAGCAGAGAGAGAGACGTGAGCAGAGAGAGAGGGACACGAGCAGAGAGAGAGACGCGAGCAGAGAGAGAGAGACGTGAGCAGAGAGAGAGACGTGAGCAGAGAGAGAGGGACACGAGCAGAGAGAGAGACGTGAGCAGAGAGAGAGACGTGAGCAGAGAGAGAGACGCGAGCAGAGAGAGAGAGACGTGAGCAGAGAGAGAGGGACACGAGCAGAGAGAGAGACGTGAGCAGAGAGAGAGACGTGAGCAGAGAGAGAGACGTGAGCAGAGAGAGAGACGTGAGCAGAGAGAGAGGGACACGAGCAGAGAGAGAGACGTGAGCAGAGAGAGAGAGACGTGAGCAGAGAGAGAGACGTGAGCAGAGAGAGAGGGACACGAGCAGAGAGAGAGACGTGAGCAGAGAGAGAGACGTGAGCAGAGAGAGAGGGACACGAGCAGAGAGAGAGACGTGAGCAGAGAGAGAGACGTGAGCAGAGAGAGAGACGCGAGCAGAGAGAGAGAGACGTGAGTCCGCGTGTCTATGGTCCGCGCTCGGAGCCCAGACTGCAGTGCGTTCACTGAGCTGTCAGAGCGGGGGTCACAGCAGCTGCTCTCGGGGCCAGAGCGGAGGATGTAACGTAACGTTCGGTTTATCAAAACATATCACAATATTTAACGTATAACACTAGTGAATTTCACCTAGATTTTTTCAGACATTAAAGACAAGATGTTATATAATAATTGTTTAATGAAAAAACAATTTTGCCACAAGCAACCAAAAGATGTGCCTCAGACAAGAATCGAACCTGGGTTCTCCAGGTCCTTGTATTTAATGCTATCCATTCAGCCAACAAAGCACCTCTGGGCTAGACAGGTTTGCACGCAGTCTTATACCTGAGCGTCTAAGTCGCTGGCAGAGCTAAAGCGGACTTAGCCTGCCACCTTGTGGCGATAAGATGTACTATTTTTCACGCAGCTGCGTGATTCCCGAGAAGCGTGAATGAAGACGACAAAACGGAATGGGACCTACTGTACGTCCGTCACACGTCCGTCCGTCATACGTCCGTCCATCATACGTCCGTCACATGTCCGTCACACGTCCGTCACACGTCTGTCACACGTCTGTCACACGTCGGTCATACGTCCGTCTGTCACACGTCCGTCACACGTCCGTCACACGTCCGTCACACGTCCGTCACACGTCCGTCACACGTCCGTCACACGTCCGTCACACGTCTGTCACACGTCTCTCATACATCCGTCCGTCACACATCCGTCACACGTCCGTCACACAAACATCATATGCCGTCACACAACCGTCACACGTCCGTCACGTGTCCGTCATGCGTCCGTTATGCGTCTGTCATGCGTCCGTTAGCGTCCGTCACACGTCCATCATACGTCCGTCACACGTCTGTCACACGTCCGTCACACGTCTGTCACACGTCTATCACACGTCTGTCACACGTCTGTCACATGTCCGTGATACGTCCGTCATACGTCCGTCATACGTGCGTCATACGTGCGTCACACGTCTGTCTGTCATACGACCGTCACACGTCCGTCACACGTCTGTCACACGTCCGTCATGCGTCCGTCACGCGTCCGTCATACGTCCGTCACACGTCCGTCCGTCATACGTCCGTCCATCATACGTCCGTCACATGTCCGTCACACGTCCGTCACACGTCTGTCACACGTCTATCACACATCTGTCACACGTCGGTCATACGTCCGTCCGTCACACGTCCGTCATACATCCGTCACAGGTCCGTAACACGTCTGTCACACGTCTGTCATACATCCGTCCGTCACACGTCCGTCACACGTCTGTCACACGTCTGTCACACGTCTGTCACACGTCTGTCATACGTCCGTCCGTCACACGTCCGTCACAAAAACGTCATACGTCCGTCACACGTCCGTCAAGCGTCCGTCACGCGTCCGTTATGCGTCCGTCATGCGTCCGTTAGCGTCCGTCACACGTCCGTCACACGTCTGTCACACGTCTGTCATACATCCGTCCGTCACACGTCCGTCACGCGTCCGTTAGCGTCCGTCATGCATCCGTTAGCGTCCATCACACGTCCATCATACGTCCGTCACACGTCCGTCCGTCATACGTCCGTCACACGTCCGTCACACGTCTGTCACACGTCTGTCACATGTCCGTCATACGTCCGTCATACGTCCGTCATACGTCCATCATACGTCCGTCACACGTCTGTCTGTCATACGTCCGTCATACGTCTGTCACACATCTGTCATGTGTCCGTCACGCGTCCGTCACGCGTCTGTCACGCATCCGTCACGCGTCCGTCACACGTCTGTCACGCGTCCGTCACACGTCCATCCGTCATACGTCCGTCACACGTCTGTCATACGTCCGTCACACGTCCGTCCGTCATACGTCCGTCACACGTCCGTCATACGTTGTCACACGTCCGTCATACGTCGTCACACGTCCGTCACACATCCATCATACGTCCGTCACACGTCCGTCATATGTCGTCACACGTCCGTCACACATCCGTCATACGTCCGTCCGTCACACGTCTGTCATACGTCCGTCACACGTCCATCATACGTCGTCACATGTCCGTCATACGTCCGTCTCACGTCTGTCACACGTCCATCACACGTCTGTCACACGTCCGTCACACGTCCGTCACACGTCCGTCATACGTCCGTCACACGTCCGTCACACGTCTGTCACACGTCTCTCATACATCCGTCCGTCACACATCCGTCACACGTCCTTCACACAAACATCATATGCCGTCACACAACCGTCACACGTCCGTCACGTGTCTGTCATGCGTCCGTTATGCGTCTGTCATGCGTCCGTTAGCGTCCGTCACACGTCCATCATACGTCCGTCACACGTCTGTCACACGTCCGTCACACGTCTGTCACACGTCTATCACACGTCTGTCACACGTCTGTCACACGTCTGTCACACGTCGGTCATACGTCCGTCCGTCACACGTCCGTCACACGTCCGTCACACGTCCGTCATACGTCCGTCACACGTCCGTCACACGCCTGTCACACGTCTCTCATACATCCGTCCGTCACACATCCGTCACACGTCCGTCACACAAACATCATATGCCGTCACACGACCGTCACACGTCCGTCACGTGTCCGTCATGCGTCCGTTATGCGTCTGTCATGCGTCCGTTAGCGTCCGTCACACGTCCATCATACGTCCGTCACACGTCTGTCACACGTCCGTCACACGTCGGTCACACGTCTATCACACGTCTGTCACATGTCCGTGATACGTCCGTCATACGTCCGTCATACGTGCGTCATACGTGCGTCACACGTCTGTCTGTCATACGACCATCACACGTCCGTCACACGTCTGTCACACGTCCGTCATGCGTCCGTCACGCGTCCGTCATACGTCCGTCACACGTCCGTCCGTCATACGTCCGTCCATCATACGTCCGTCACATGTCCGCCACACGTCCGTCACACGTCTGTCACACGTCTTTCACACATCTGTCACACGTCGGTCATACGTCCGTCCGTCACACGTCCGTCACACGTCCGTCATACATCCGTCACAGGTCCGTAACACGTCTGTCACACGTCTGTCATACATCCGTCCGTCACACGTCCGTCACACGTCTGTCACACGTCTGTCATACGTCCGTCCGTCACACGTCCGTCACAAAAACGTCATACGTCCGTCACACGTCCGTCACGCGTCCGTTATGCGTCCGTCATGCGTCCGTTAGCGTCCGTCACACGTCCGTCACACGTCCGTCACACGTCCGTCACACGTCCGTCACACGTCTGTCACACGTCTGTCATACATCCGTCCGTCACACGTCCGTCACGCGTCCGTCACACGTCCGTCACGTGTCCGTCATGCGTCCGTTATGCGTCTGTCATGCGTCCGTTAGCGTCCGTCACACGTCCATCATACGTCCGTCACACGTCTGTCACACGTCCGTCACACGTCGGTCACACGTCTATCACACGTCTGTCACATGTCCGTGATACGTCCGTCATACGTCCGTCATACGTGCGTCATACGTGCGTCACACGTCTGTCTGTCATACGACCATCACACGTCCGTCACACGTCTGTCACACGTCCGTCATGCGTCCGTCACGCGTCCGTCATACGTCCGTCACACGTCCGTCCGTCATACGTCCGTCCATCATACGTCCGTCACATGTCCGCCACACGTCCGTCACACGTCTGTCACACGTCTTTCACACATCTGTCACACGTCGGTCATACGTCCGTCCGTCACACGTCTCTCATACATCCGTCCGTCACACATCCGTCACACGTCCGTCACACAAACATCATATGCCGTCACACAACCGTCACACGTCCGTCACGTGTCCGTCATGCGTCCGTTATGCGTCTGTCATGCGTCCGTTAGCGTCCGTCACACGTCCATCATACGTCCGTCACACGTCTGTCACACGTCCGTCACACGTCTGTCACACGTCTATCACACGTCTGTCACACGTCTGTCACATGTCCGTGATACGTCCGTCATACGTCCGTCATACGTGCGTCATACGTGCGTCACACGTCTGTCTGTCATACGACCGTCACACGTCCGTCACACGTCTGTCACACGTCCGTCATGCGTCCGTCACGCGTCCGTCATACGTCCGTCACACGTCCGTCCGTCATACGTCCGTCCATCATACGTCCGTCACATGTCCGTCACACGTCCGTCACACGTCTGTCTGTCATACGACCATCACACGTCCGTCACACGTCTGTCACACGTCCGTCATGCGTCCGTCACGCGTCCGTCATACGTCCGTCACACGTCCGTCCGTCATACGTCCGTCCATCATACGTCCGTCACATGTCCGCCACACGTCCGTCACACGTCTGTCACACGTCTTTCACACATCTGTCACACGTCGGTCATACGTCCGTCCGTCACACGTCCGTCACACGTCCGTCATACATCCGTCACAGGTCCGTAACACGTCTGTCACACGTCTGTCATACATCCGTCCGTCACACGTCCGTCACACGTCTGTCACACGTCTGTCATACGTCCGTCCGTCACACGTCCGTCACAAAAACGTCATACGTCCGTCACACGTCCGTCACGTGTCCGTCATGCGTCCGTTATGCGTCTGTCATGCGTCCGTTAGCGTCCGTCACACGTCCATCATACGTCCGTCACACGTCTGTCACACGTCCGTCACACGTCGGTCACACGTCTATCACACGTCTGTCACATGTCCGTGATACGTCCGTCATACGTCCGTCATACGTGCGTCATACGTGCGTCACACGTCTGTCTGTCATACGACCATCACACGTCCGTCACACGTCTGTCACACGTCCGTCATGCGTCCGTCACGCGTCCGTCATACGTCCGTCACACGTCCGTCCGTCATACGTCCGTCCATCATACGTCCGTCACATGTCCGCCACACGTCCGTCACACGTCTGTCACACGTCTTTCACACATCTGTCACACGTCGGTCATACGTCCGTCCGTCACACGTCCGTCACACGTCCGTCATACATCCGTCACAGGTCCGTAACACGTCTGTCACACGTCTGTCATACATCCGTCCGTCACACGTCCGTCACACGTCTGTCACACGTCTGTCATACGTCCGTCCGTCACACGTCCGTCACAAAAACGTCATACGTCCGTCACACGTCCGTCACGCGTCCGTTATGCGTCCGTCATGCGTCCGTTAGCGTCCGTCACACGTCCGTCACACGTCCGTCACACGTCCGTCACACGTCTGTCACACGTCTGTCATACATCCGTCCGTCACACGTCCGTCACGCGTCCGTCACACGTCCGTTACGCGTCCGTTAGCGTCCGTCATGCATCCGTTAGCGTCCATCACACGTCCATCATACGTCCGTCACACGTCCGTCCGTCATACGTCCGTCACACGTCCGTCACACGTCTGTCACACGTCTGTCACATGTCCGTCATACGTCCGTCATACGTCCGTCATACGTCCATCATACGTCCGTCACACGTCTGTCTGTCATACGTCCGTCATACGTCTGTCACACATCTGTCATGTGTCCGTCACGCGTCCGTCACGCGTCTGTCACGCGTCCGTCACGCGTCCGTCACGCGTCTGTCACGCGTCCGTCACACGTCCGTCCGTCACACGTCCATCCGTCATACGTCCGTCACACGTCTGTCATACGTCCGTCACACGTCTGTCATACGTCCGTCACACGTCCGTCCGTCATACGTCCGTCACACGTCCGTCATACGTCGTCACACGTCCGTCACACATCCGTCATACGTCCGTCACACGTCCGTCATATGTCGTCACACGTCCGTCACACATCCGTCATACGTCCGTCCGTCACACGTCTGTCATACGTCCGTCACACGTCCATCATACGTCGTCACATGTCCGTCATACGTCCGTCTCACGTCTGTCACACGTCCATCACACGTCTGTCACACGTCCGTCACGCGTCCGTCACGCGTTTGTCACGTGTCCGTCACGTGTCCGTCACGCGTCCGTCATACGTCCGTCATGCGCGCGTATAACGCTAGTATTGTAAATATCACTATTGGTTCACATGGAAAAATGTTACGTACATCTGCTGCACGTACAATGCGTACGTGCTGTAACGCCTGTGGTGTAAATTAGCAGTGAGAATGTAAAGTGCTGAACTGCTGTTGTGCCCTGAGGCAATACACTCACACTGTCGACTGTGCTCAGCAACTGATGCAATTTTCTTGTGACGTAGATGTCTGTCTACAGTGAGATTCACCAGCTGTATTTTTTATTATTATCATTACAATATATTTTTTTACAACTGAAATCTAAGACAGTTTGTCATAAATAATCAGATACAAAAGTTTTTTTTTTTTCCACTGGCTACATATTCAAGCATGTTCTGTGCATCTGCTGTCTCTGTGTGTCTCTATCTCTGTCTCTGTCTCTATGCATGTTTCTGCTTGTCCCTGTGCATGTCTCTGTCTCTGCATGTCTTTATGCATGTCTCTGTCTCGGCATGTCTCTGTCTCTGCATGTCTCTGTGCATGTCTCTGTCTCTGCTTGTCCCTGTGCATGTCTCTGTCTCTGCATGTCTCTGTGCATGTCTCTGTCTCTGCTTGTCCCTGTGCATGTCTCTGTCTCTGCATGTCTCTGTGCATGTCTCTGTCTCTGCATGTCTCTGTGCATGTCTCTGTCTCTGCATGTCTCTGTGCATGTCTCTGTCTCTGCATGTCTCTGTGCATGTCTCTATGCATGTCTCTGTCTCTGCATGTCTCTGTGCATGTCTCTGTCTCTGCATGTCTCTATGCATGTCTCTGTCTCTGTGCATGTCTCTGTCTCTGTGCATGTCTCTGCATGTCTCATGTGGTTCTTGTTTGTCTCTTGCATGCTCTCTGTGCTCATGGCTTTGCACCACACAGCTCCCAGTGCCGCGGTACAAGAAGGTAAGTCCTCAGTCCTCACCCCCAGACCACTGTGAGGTCTCCCAGAGCCCTGTGAGGTCCCCCAGACCCCTGTGAGATCCCCTAGACCCCTGTGAGATCCGCTGGTCAGTACTGTAATATTTTACTACTGCACTACAGCAATAAAGTATCAGTACTACAGTATCAGTAATACATTGTCAGTACTACAGTGTCAGTACTACAGTTTCAGTACTACAGTATTACTTTATTTATGCACTCTGTATAGGGTGGTGCTAAATTACGGCTGTAGCCACAGCTGCCCTGGGGCAGACAGAAGTGAGGCAACCAGTCTGTGCCATCAGCCCCTCCCACCACCACCAACCTTTCACGCACACACCAGACTCATTCTTATGTGGGGGAAGTGTCTTGCCAACCACAGTTTTACAAAAGTATAACTGTGGTGACAGTCCAGAGTTCAGCTGTAAACATGGACCCCCCACAGAGCCCCCCCCCCCCAAACCCCCCCACCCCTATTTATCACCCTGCCTCATTGGTCAAAGCTGTTTATGGGTTGCCGCGGTGATGGATGCTCCTGATGCTGCGGTCCTGATGGTATTGGATTAGAATGAAGAGAAAGACTTTGTCGATGGAGCAGATACATAGAGATAGATGGGTCTGACACACACACACACACACACACAAGACACAGACGCACACACACACAGAGACACACAGACACACACAGGACACACACACACACAGACACACACAAAGACACACAGACACACACAGACACACATACACACAGACACACACACACACAAGACACAGATACACACACAAGACGCACCCACACACACAGAAACACACACATGCAACCACACATGCACGCACACGCGCAGGCACATGCACACACACACACACACACACACACACACACACACACACACACACACACACACACACACGCACACACAGACAGACACACACACACACACATACACAAATGGAGGTGGGGCATCGATGGGTCACAGTTCCACATGAGGGGCGATTATGAGGAATGAGAAGAGTCCTGTTCAGACACATGTGTCAATCATCTTCATCTGAGACACTGTCTAAGTATACATGCCTCAGTATACATGTCTCAGTATACATGCCTCAGTATACATGTCTCTGTATACATGTCTCAGTATACATGTCTCAGTATACATGTCTCAGTATACATGTCTCAGTATACATGTCTCAGTATACATGTCTAAGTATAAATGTCTCAGTATGCATGTCTCAGTATACATGTCTCAGTATACATGTCTCAGTATACATGTCTCAGTATACGTGTCTCAGTATACATTTCTCAGTATACATGTCTCAGTATACATGTCTCAGTATGCATGTCTCAGTATACATGTCTCAATATACATGTTTCTGTATATCAGTCTCAGTATAGATGTCTCAGTATACATGTCTCAGTATACATTTCTCAGTATATATGTCTCAGTATACATGTTTCAGTACACATGTTCCAGTATACATATCTCAGTATTTCTTAGTATATATACAGAGAGGTCTGAGTCTGTTTGTATGTTTAGACATGTATACTGAGACATGTATACTGAGACATGTATACTGAGACAAATTAAACGTCTGAAGTTCACGGCGTTTGGAAAAAGACTTATTTATTTGGTTGGCACAGTAAATGTTTATGAACACATCACTCCTGTACCTTGGGCTGATTTCCATCTGTTGTCCCACAGTCGC